TAACTTTAAGAGCTCAGTCGGTGAAGACAGAAATTAATGCCAGTGTATTAAGTCTGCTGAACTCATTCCTAACTAATAGCTTCATAAAGCTCAAAAGAAAAATAACACTGGGCATGGAAAAACACAGTTATTCTATATAACGGGTACACAGGAGTTAAAGAATCACATCCACCAAGAAGTATGTAACTCCCTAGGAAAAGAACTGGTAGTATTTTACAAAAAAACAAAAAAATCTCAGTGAACATAACAGTTTCCTCCCAGACATCTAAATGGTGGGCAAGAGATCACTTTTCTAAAAAAATGTATTGTTCTGACAAGCACAGGGTCGCTTTGTTTTGGTTTTTTTTTAATTGCATTCTCTAACAAAACACACATGGAAAGCATTGCAGGCTTAAAAACACTAGATAGCCAAGATGATTTTGACACTCATCCCATGCTCACTTTCTTTTCTTTTCATCTCAGAAAGACAACAGAGTTAGCAATACACACACTCGACATTTAGGGCTTACGTCTCCTACCTTACAAAGCTTCTGGTAACGGGGAGAAGAAACTGCCATCCTTTGTAAACGATGCAACAACACCACAACTTTCTGAAGAGAGGTTCTCACCACAGCCATCATTTTAAGTTTGCCACACTTCTGAAGATACCTCAGAATTTGCATTATAAATGAAGAGCAACTATCATTTCCTCCCGGTCACTGGACAATGATTTGCCAGCTTTCTGAGCATGCTCTCTTCCAGGACTGCTTTTGCAAGCTACAGGCTTTATACGTTTCAAAGGCAAAGAAGATTGATACAGCATAAGTTTTTCTCCCAAAATAACCCCACAAAACAAATGCAAAAAGATAACAGCCTTCACAGATTCCTGTAATCGGCACTGCTCAGCTCTGCTTTTGCAGAGGGCAAATGAACTTGAGCAGCTGATAGTATGCCTCCGTTCAGGAGTGCACTAAATAACCAGAAAAAGGTTATTAATTTAAGCCTGAAAGCTGCAGGAACAAAAAAGGAATTCCTTCAGGAAGACGGCTCCAGTGTATCACAACAGTTGTTCCTCCCTAGTAGCTGCTTTCTATCAGCAGACAGAGTGTTTGCTCCCTCACTCTGAGAAAGGATGCTCTCGTTCTCCGACTGAACGCAGCTCTGGCAGAGCTGTAGAGTGAGTGAATAACAGATTGTGTTATAAATCTTGAGAGGGGAGTACAGGGATACCTGCCCTAATTATATCAGCCATACATTAAATGCTAATGAATCACATAGGCATTTGTCAAAACTAGATTATCCAACACAAAAGGCAAAATTACAGGGGGTAAACCTCTTTCTATAAAAACTCTCTTAAAGCTAATTTAGTCAAAGGGATCTATAGAATCCTCACTTGCACCAGAAAGTAGGAATGTTTTTCACAAGCCATTTCCAATTAAATATTTTCCAGAATGACTTTAGACAAGAAAAGGACAGGGTTTTGACAAGGTAAAAGCGTACAGCTGCATCATCAACCCCTTTTCTAAGTGATCCTTGAATCCAAAGAGCTAACCTAATTTTGATGTATCTTCCATGACAAAGCAGAACTATTTCAGCCATCTAAGGATGATAATAGGATGTTCAAGAGCATGGAAGTGTTTTGCTACCAGCAAGGCACTCCCAATGCAATACAGCCAACATATCCCAAGGTGTGGCAAAACTGCAGCATAACCAGAGCTAGCTACTCATTGCTTCCAAAGGTGCTTTGATGAACCTGCTTAAACACTTATCAGAGGGGCTGCTGTAGCAAAGGGAGGCCTGAACACAGTAGGTGAAGCACAGATCATATGATTTAAAGTGCACATTTCCACATGGAAAGGTACCTACATGTTTCAAGCACATCAATCAGCACAATATGGTGGCAACAGCTATCCTGACAAGTTCATATGATCCAAAATAATGCACAGCTTAGATGTCAGTGCATTATACACTGCTTTGCCTCTTCTAAGGCACTTTCCTACGAAGGAGATTAATGCAAGGTTCAGATTCTTCATACAGGACATTTAAAAACTCTCCCCATCCAATTCTGTGAAGACAACCTTTTAATATTTACTTTTAGGACTGAATCAATGTTTCTACCACTTCTCACATAAACCAAATTTCCCTGTACTCTGCTTTCTTCTTGATGTGTCCACAACAATAACAACATCATTTTGAACAGATAAACAGATACACGGATTCCAATCTATATATAGAAATCTTACCAACTGTATTCACCTTGCAAGATACACTGTCTTTTCTCATCTTCATGACATATTTCAACTGTTCCTCTGCATGCCATTGCTCCTGGCTTGCATCCCTTCCCACCAGAAGTCTGCTGCTTTAACTTTCCAGATTAAGCCTACCATGATTAGCTGACATGCTCTTACCAAATATCTTTTAAGGAAACTTGTGAAGCAGCAGAACTCTGAAACCATGGAAGCATTCAGAAATGACTGTGCAAAAGCTCAAACCTCTCATTTTCTACTTCCTTACTTCTACTTTTTATCTTCCCAGATCTTTCAACCTACAAGTTTGAATCAATCAGTGAGACAAACAGCCAGCCCCTACTTATGGTAACTTTTTCTACAATACAACAAAATCTTTGAATTATTTTTAACACCTTTGCACCTGTAGGCCCACCTTCACATACCTTGCACTACTTCTTACTATTTCCTACCTTATTTTCCACATCTTTTTTCAAATTAGGTTTTAAACTCTTCCAAGTCACTGCTAAATATTTTCCAAAACAGACTGTAGTGTTTTGACACTAACCTGAATGGAAAAACTTCTGCAAGGTTTACATACTCAGAGAATTAATTGAACTGATTAATGATATCATTGTGGATTTCTCCTTTTCAAAAAGACATTGCAACCACACTCAAAGTCTCCATTATTTGCATAGTACTGATGCTGGCCTCAGGTATCACAATGAAAGGCAAAACAAGGCTTCAAACCTCAGATCATTGATTCCACTGTAGAGGAACTTGAGCTGCAGCCAAACAAGCTAGACCCAAAATGCAATGGAGAATAGTCCTCCCATGCATGCACAGATGTCAGTCTAACAGATGATCCTATTTTGAAAATGCATGACATGTAACAGCAGCAACAACAACAAATTCATCACATTTTGTCTAGGTTCAGCTCATTTCACCTAGAATTTATCACACCTTGAATTTGAGAAAAATTTTACTTAATGGACAGGCCTTGGGATCAGGGGCATTGTCTACAGAGCAGAGAATCTCTGGATTCTTCTTAAAACCATTTATCCACTAACCTTAAAATCAATACTTCTTTACATATTCAACAAGGCACTGAAAGAAAAACACTGTCATTTTACACCACATAACTGGGGAAGAACAGGAAATTATCTTTGTTTAATCAGATAATAAGCTTAAGAACTTGTAAGGGAGCAGGCTTGATCTTTCTAAGTACAGCAGGGTGTTGGAACTTCATTTTGTTTTCAGAAGTGCAACAAATACTTGAAAACATAAACAGTGATTTTGGAGTGTTTGCCAGTGTCATGATATAAATGTTTTCATTTACATTTAAAGACTGTAAGATGGTAGGGGACAAAGTTCATTCTGGAAGTCATTATGCTATGACAGTCTTTGACATGCTCTACTTCACTTCCTAGGGTAGCCAGAAAAGGCTTAAAAAGTTATGTAATGTCATGGGTGAGTTAAGTGATGATATTTCATGTGCACAGTGTGTAGAAACATACAGTCTCAGAAAGAGATGGACAATACCAGGTACTGGGATGATGAACCAGGGGAGGTCATGCCCCAGCACCTCCACCTGCCTTTTCAGTTGTGACAAGCCAGGGAAATGTGCAAAGTCAGGAGTTGGTTACAGACCTTCTTCTTTCACAGCAGTCTTGCCTAACAGTTCTCCCCTCACACAGGACAACTCAGGCAATTTTAATCAGATTGCAGCACAACAAAGAATGGCAAACAACCTTCTACATGCACAGTGCTTCACAGCCACACAGAGCCAACAAATAAACTGAAAGAACAGCTGTATATTGGTGTGACTGACTCCACAGAACACAAGGTAATGCAGAAATAAGTCCATTTATACACAGTACTGCCTGTGCCCCATTTTAGCTCTTCCATCTCCACTACATTACAGTAGTTGGAAGTGGTGTCATAACGTTAAATTCTAGGTGTCACCACTACAGACTGATCTCAGCATTTCGCAAAAAGCCACATCTCTACAGAGGAGTTACCTGACTACAATAATTTGAACATTTGTGAGTGACATGCCATCTTCATGAGATACAAACTTCCACAAAATAGCGTTCTTCACTATGATTAGCAAGAATAACTTCCTATAAGATACTCTTAACAGTCTTATTTCATTTCAATTCAGCACAGATATGTTCAGACTAAGAGCACTACTAAAAGCAACATCTTTTTTTCATTATAAGCTGCTCAAACCTACTTAGATCACAGGTGACATTAATCCAAACACAGAGTACAGGATTTAATAGGTGATGTCAGTTAAACTTCTCAGTCATTTCTAAGATTTCCAGTCTGGGGCCTGAAAGAAAGCCAGATGGGGAGCTGCTGGGCACTAGGAGGGGGAGAAGAGGTAATCCAAGCACAACAACTTCTTGGATTGCTGAAAAAGCAGGAAGAAGGTGGTAGACAAATAGGAGAGAGTGCAGCCCAGGAGGGCTTTACTTGGAGGGAAGTAGATTAAATTGTTTGGTTGAACAATCACACAACATGACTTGGTTTAATGAAGCGTACACTTCCTGAATGCAGTCACCCTCCAAGGACATTTAAGAGCCCTCAGTGCCAAAGACATAGACAAAAATATGTTCTTCAAACCTTAGGAAGACAAATTTGCTTCTTTCATACACCTGACTTCTAAAAAACTATTTTAGGAAACACCTTTCCATAGGCTGCAGCTTTCCCCAAGCAAGTAGATAGCTTTTCTTTATAACATTTGCCATTGAGAGAAAGCCTGAATAACAGCAATATTATTTAGTTTCTCACCTGCATTTGCTTTCTGAGTTCCCGTATGCAGACACTATCCTGAGCAGTTTTCTCACGCTCGAATGCATCTGCCAGAACATTTACTGTTGTCTCTGCCTCTTGAAGCCACTTGAAGAAGCTCTCCAGATCCTTGTGCAAGGCCTGTACTGTCTTCATCTCTGTCTCCAAGAAATTCTGCCTGTCGACAGCTCTGAAAACAAGACAAGTGTCAGAATATTCCTCCATAAGATACAGCATTATATACTTCATAATGAAACTACTAAAAGGAAATCTGAAATGTATCTCTAGTAAGAACAGAGATACGGCTTGTTTTACCATAATTTATATCACAGTTTTTCGTGTATCTATACCTACCCACAGATGTCCTGAACTGATTGTACATTTGACAGACCTTTTTTTTTTAAAAAAAGGCGTGCAGTAAAAAACTCAGTTATTAATGAAAAAACCTAGGTTTTCCTTTTAGACTGTTACCATCATCAACCTATGCTACTCCAAATGCTAGAAGTGTTATTGCCATGTGTGAAAAATGGGCTTTTCCCCATCAACAAAAAACATATGGAGTAGAAGCACTGAGTGCTTGAGGTATTTTTGTTCCTATTTTACAGTGAGGAGAAACACTGCCATAAATTCTTAAGAATTAAAGTGCTAAGGGATGAAAAGTCAGATACCTGGTTCTCTCTGCTAGAAGACTTTTGACACAATCACTCATACAAACAGAATAATAGACTGCCATCATAACAGCCAAACCATGCTGAACAAACTTAAACTTAAAAAAAGCTGGCAGAATATGGTCCCAGTTTCCAATCACCCCAAAAATTTCTAACAGATGAAAACACTAAAGTTTGTGTCCATAAGAGGATTTTTTTGTGTAATAACAATATAATCCGAATATTTTAAGATAACAATAACTTCAAATAATTTCCTAGGGGAAAAAAAATCACCTTATAGTTCTGCATAACAGTACTGTCTTCTAGTAATTGAAATGAAACTCAGATGAGAAACTATTATAGTCAGCAATTTTAAAAACTCTGATTAGCAGCATTAATAAAGCATGACAAACTAAATTTCACCCATTTGAGACTGTTATTCTGCAGCATTCCTTCTCCCAAAATCAGGACAAAAGAAACAAGCTGTCCCATACCACAACATTGTAGAGAAACCTCTAACAGAGCTAACAGCTAGAATGCTTCTGCTGAGTAAGTAGAAAGCTAAATTTTATTTTCACATCAAGCACTAGCTGTATTATAATACTTTAGGGATAAAGTGATATTTAATTTCAAGTCAGACAGGGCCAAAACACTCAGAATTTGTTATTTCCACATTTCTCCAGACAGGCCCAAACTTGTGTCTTCTGTGTCCTCCCATCTACTTCAGCTTTCTTTCCTCCTTGTCATGCAGTACTGTTCAGAAGTCTGAGGGAATAACTATGTTTGGAACTGTGAATTTCAAAGCTAGCTAAAATATTCCTTTAGAAAAGAAGCAATGGTGTTAAGTACCATTCAGGATGACATTTCAAAGCAAGTAGCCTGGTTTACTAGCACATCAGATGAGACCAATAGAAGTAAAAGCTGTTTTCTTTCAAGGACTGTGAGGAAATCTCATGCAACCCTAATTCTGCCAGGCTCACATTTCTAAGTTGTAGCATAACCAACTGAATTTTTCTGAGACAATCTGCACAAAGATAGTGTTGCAACCCCTATTTTAGAAGCTTTGGTCTCACATCACTTGCTAATAATTGCTTTATCCAAAATAAGAGTCTAAGAATCATTCCTGACTTAGCTTTACCAAATTTTGGCAACTAGCAAATGACGAGGAGAGCAAGAAGCCTTCATTCTTGCTTCTCACTTGCAGCTGAAATACTTCACCCAGTCCTGACAAAAAAAACATAGCATGCTAGGGATAGCAAGTAGTTTGATAAATATTGTTCAGAAAAGATAATAAGCACCAACTAAAAAATTAGAGCACACCGAGGAACTGTGAGAAAAACGTAAAGTAAAAGCAGTTGTGAGCTCTAACTTCAAAACCCTCTCCCCCCTGCAGGGATTTTATTTCCTAACAGGAGGTTAAGACCAAAGGTGGAAGAACAGGAGTGACAGCAGGAAGAACAGACTGGTAATAAAGGTGACTTTCAGAGAAAAAAAAACAGCCCCAACGGATGAAACACTAAGTGACCCAGATCTCTAAGTCTAAGTACTGATGTATTAAATAGAAACCAAGACAACCTGAACTTTGCAGTTAACAACATTCATTGAAGAATATTGTCTTCATCTTAAAGATTTAATTTCTCAAGCTTTCTGCTTGGTTGAGCTTTAAGGAAAGAATGAAATCCTATTACCGACCCACTGCTGCCATATATTTGAATTAAAGCTGAAAAACAATCCTAAATACATACAAATTTACAACTCATGTCCTAAGTTTACATGGGTGTTTTTAAAGAGGACATGTATGGCAAGCAGTAGTGAGCAACACTTTTAGAGAGCAGGTGGAAATACTTTCCTCCCCTGGTATTAAAGACCTCAAACATAAAATAGAAAATGGAAAATTTTTTTATAGGAGTATTCTGTACTGCAGATTAAAAACTACCCCATGCTATAAAAACATAACTCAGATTTTCAAATCATTCTGATACAATTAGAGCAGCCTCAAAAGAGAGAGGATCTGTATATCTTCCAGCTGCAAGAACTAAATGTGAGGAGAAGCTGGAGAATTATTTTCAAATGCAGCTAATGTAATACAGTGATAGTGGAGAAAGTCTATGCAGATTCTATTGGCAAACACACACCCAAGAAAAAAAATTGTTATTCTATTATTTAAGTTTTCATGGCTCTTTTTCAGGTATCTGTTCCATCCAATTATTTTTTCAGAAATCTGCAATGCATACATGTGTGTGATCAAAAGAAATTCAGAAACTAACAGCCGAGATGGTACAGAAAGCAACTATAATCCATTACCAAGGCAGCACAAACACATAGAACTATAGTTTCACCCTAAAGTATAAAAACAGAACAAAAATAGCCACTGGGCAAAGTATCCAATTTACACATGTCAAGCTGGAGAGCTTGAATCTCTTAATGCTCACAGTTTTAAAATAACCTTCTCCTCCTTCCATGCCATGGCTACAGTCATCCTGGTAGTTCCTGGTAGCGTTCTTATGGTGACCAGGACCACAATCCTTCCAGATGGTTTTACTAAGGACCCTTTCCACAACCTCAAAGTAGGGGAAAAAACTGGTATTTTAAAGCATTATGCTATAAATACAGATTTATTCTTATAGAAGGCATAGGGCTGTGTATCCACTCTATGTATAAGCCCCACATGTCCCAACATCTGTCACAAAAAGTAAGCCTCATCACTGGTATTTCTATTTCTTGAATTTAAAGCAGGTATAAAAACCTTCATCCTATTGAAAAGGTGCTTTCATTGCACATTCTCACCTTTTAATTCTCCCATGATGCTCATATGGGGCAGCTCCACACTGGCTACCCACTGGCTCTCCAAGTTGTCCTTTACATTCTGCCACTAGTTAATAAACAAAGCAGATATTCACCTTCCTTAGGCTGCAGACTTCAAACAGTAGCCCCAGTGATAATTAAGGAGCTTCAGTTATACACAACAAAATGCAGTAGCTTATTATTTTAGACTTTAAGCAGATTCAAAACTAATTAGAGGCTTCCAGGCAGGAGCTCTTCTTTCTGGTCACCCTCTCCGAGTACCGGGCAGTTTTATGCCAGTTGTAGCCATAACACTGTGAATTCTGAATGTGAATGAGACTAATACAGAGTTTTAGCCTACTGTCCATGCCAATGCAACGAGGAGCTGTTTCCCTTCGTCCTCTAATTAACTAGGAAACAAGCTGCTAGATCCAAAGCACAAAATGACAGAAGAACGATTTTCCTCCAAGGAAGGATAGGATAACATTCTACTCTGCTTCCTTAATTACCTGCTTACAGAGAATAGTCCTGCTGGGAAGGGGTGCTCATGGGCGAGAGGCTGGACATGACCCAGTAATGTGTGCTTGCAGCCCAGAGAGCCAGTCCTGTTCTGGGCTGCTTCCAAAGCAGCATGGGCAGCAGGGCAAGGGAGGGCATTCTGCACCTCCACTACACTCTGGTGAGATCCCACCTGGAGTGCTGCATCCAGCTCTGGGGGGATGTGCTGAAACAGATCCAGAGGAAAATCTAAAATATTCTGAGGGCTGGAGCACCTCTCCTATGAGGAAAGGCTGAGAGAGTTGGAGCTGTTCAGCCTGGAGAAACAAAGGCTCCCAGGGGACCTTATAGCAGCCTTGCAGATCCTGAAGGGGGCCTACATGAAACATGGAGAGGGACTTTTTGCAAGGGCATGTAAGGACAGAACAAGAATGCTGGCTTTAAACTGAAAGAGGGCATATTTAGATTAGTGAAAAAATTCTTCACTGTGAGGGTGGTGAAACACTGGAACAGGAGAAGCTGTGTATGCCCCATACCTGGAAGTTTCCAAGGTAAGCCTGAATGGGGTTTTGTGCAATCTGATCTAGTGGACTGCGGTCTGCCCATGGCAGGGGGGTTGGAACTGGATGATCTTTAAGGCCCTTTCCAATTCAAACCATTCTCTAACTTCACAATTTTTATAACATTCTCTTCCTCTCACTCCTCTCCTTAAGCTTTACTAAGTAAGGTTTTCATTCCTTTTATTGACATCCCATTCCAAAAGCAGCTGCTTCTTTCACATGCACAGGTATCCATATAGACTTTAGTTGTCATCTTCCCCACTCCCAGATACAGAGGATAATTTTTTCTTCTCTCTCCCTCTAACCACAATGCATATAGACTTTTAGATTTCAGAGTCAGACACTATTCTAAATGTTGTCTATCAATACAAAACACTCAAAAGAATTCCTGCAGAAATTAGATTTCCCTACAGGAAAAAGATTATGCATAGGAAAATACCACATTTTCATTGAGACATATCTGCAAATACATCTTAAATAGAGGATGAATAGAAAGATGTTTCAATTAAGTCTCAGCTCCTATAGCACAAGTATTCTCTAGATGGGAGTACTGAAAGTATTGCACTCGAGAACCAAAAGCACAGCCCCATTCAGGGGAAGTCTCCATTAGATGAAAGGCCATAAGGAATTAATGCAAAGGAAGATGAAGCTGAACACTTACAGCCTTATGAAAAGGAAGGACAATAAAAAACTACAAATATATAAATCCTACCAACAATAAAGAATAAGAGAGGAACTTTCAAAGACACTTAGACAATAATAGCCACAGGAAAACCTGAAACCAAAAATGAGAAGTCACTTTTTCTGCTTAAAAATATACAACATAAATAGGAAGTTATACAGAAGCTTTCCATTGTGAACTGTGGGAATGTCAATAACCAAAAGAGCTTTACTGCAATTGACTAATTATCCCCAGCAGCCCTAAATGCTGCACTAAAGCACACAGAGAAGAGACTACAATACACATGTATACAGAGAATGCAAGTTTAAGGCACAAGCTGCTACATATAGAGCAAAACCTTGTAGTTACCTTTGGTTCAGATTAACCCAGCAAGTGTTCATTTGGTCAGTGGTTTCCTTCACCTTCCTTGAGTCATCATCACGATACTCTCGAAGCAGTTTATTAGAAAGATCATTGAATGCTGCCACTGTGATGTCACCTCTATGCAAATCCTGTACCAAGAGCTAAAAAGCAATGCCAAATGAGACAGATTAAAATGAGACTATTTCTCATATTATGCATTTTATCATATATTAAATATCCCTCATTTTTTCTTCTTTTCTAAAAAGCAAAATGTGCACGTTTTTCATCTAGGAGTAAAACTGTAATGAGGAAATCTACAGATATGAAATGTCCTGATAATGAATAATCAAAACATAAATAGGTGAGAAAAAGCTGTACTTGCCAGAACTGCCAAAGATTAGAGAAATCCTCTTTTATAGTTTACTGGCAACAAGAATAAAAATACTTCTGCATTTTGGGTAGCATGAATAAGTTTGAGTTATTATAATAGCAATATAAGCAGCATCTAAAAGCAGCATAAATTAAATGTGCAGTATGAGAATTTGATTTCATTCTTTAGGGTTTTTGGTTTTGGTTTTTTGCTTGTTTAAAATTAAGGAAACACATTAGAAACTTTCTTTATTATGGTAAGATATTTACAACATACCTTGACTTTAGAGAATCTAAACTCAAGAGTATTTCTAAATGAAAAATAGTATTCGCATATATGTGTATATATATATATTCAATTGCATATTATGGCCTCTAACTTTCTGTTTGGACATGGACCTGCTTTCACTTAAGAAAACAAAGTAGACCTCATAGCCCATTTTTATTGCCCTGATTATGCAGGGATAGGCACTAGTCAGACAGTTGTGCGAAGCACACAACTTTACTGTCTACTTAAACAGCTATGGATTGGTAGGCAACTCTCACTAATCATACTCCCTGCCTCTTTCATTACCCAGTTGCACCCCTATGTTGCCATTCATGAATATATATGTGCGCATATATATATATATATATATATATGCACATATTTTTTAAACTCTATTATATCCCTGTTCTAAATACTGCACTGGTGAGAGCCTCTCCTCACTGCTTTGTGTATTAAGTTCTCACACTGTGCCACCTACAGCCCACCCTTTTTCTGACAACCACCAGGACAAAGGACACTAGACTCACAGAGTTATCACAGCGTGCTTGATATGATATAAAAAGCATCAAAGATTGCATGAAATAAAAGACAATAAAAAAGCATTGGATATTCCTGACACCCACAAGAAGTGAAATTCAGGACAATTTTAAATACCATTTAAGTCCATTCCTTGACTTACTAAGCTGTTAAATATTTCTATGAAGTCAATTCTGTAGCGGAATCATCAAATTTTAATTGATCTGGGGTTCAGACTTTTTACATAATATAATTTCTTTGATGCTAAATTGTACTAATTTCAGCTAAGCTTTCAAAGGCACACATGACACCTGTTTGCCTCCCAGAATGGGATTCTTGGAAAGTCTGGTATATTGAAAAGCATAGACAATTAAGAAAATAACATAGCCAAAAAGAGACAGAAAATAGTGCAACAACTAAATTGCACATTCACTCATCAATTGAATCCAGTAGCATTACACAGACTCAGGAATCTGGTCTGGAAAAAAATTAAGCATAAGTGGTCTTACTTTGCTGTCTGCAATCTGTTTGGCAAGCATCTCTTTCGGGGCCTGCAGGAGCACTCGCAGCCGGATCTCGCACTGCTCCATGAGGCGCTCCATCTCCTGCCTCTGCTCGTGCCACTGCAGGCTGTCTGCCAGCATGTGCTTCAGCTGCTGCTGCCGCACCTCCACGCTGTGCTGGGTGTTGTCCCACTGGCTCTTCAGCTGCTCCACTGTGGAGGACAACACACAGTGAGGCAAGTGAAAAAGTAGCCATAAATACCTCCTAATTTTCAGGGCAAAATATAACATATATACAATAGTCTCAATATTCAGTGTTTTAGTTCTCTGACTAGTTGGCATTCACAGAAGCAAATGAAAAATATCAGGTGTTTGGCTTCCTCTTGCTTAAGCAGGACAGCATACAAGTAACAACTATTATTTCTGGTATATTTCAAAGTCATTATTTACTTTCAAAGTACACACATGTAGGAAACTGTACCACAGAGATATGTCAGCAGTTGGGCTCCAAGGAGAAAAATTTTAGGGTGATTTTAGGGTGATAGGACCAGCAAGTCATCTCTGTGCATCTGTAACTTAAACTGGTACAAATAAATAAATACTGTTTCGACAGTTAGTACAAAGAAAACTGAGCATTCCTGACCACTGTCTCATAGCACCTGTACTACAATTTTGGCCAGTGTAGAAACATTCTACAAGGTAGTAACAAACTACTTTGGCAATTTAATTCCACCACAGGTTTCTACAGAATTTAGTAGATTACACAGCAGAAGAGAGACATTATTGGTTACACCCAACTTCCTTCAAGTGGAAGGAATTCCATGCCTCTCTCAATAAATAGTTTCATTAGATGACAGATAAACACACTTAACCTTTAATAAACAAGGAGTGAAAAACACAACATAAGAGCCTAGAACAAAAATAGTGCATCACAAAAAGCAGTGAAACGGTCTTTGGAGAGAAATTCATGGCATCATACATTTTCCAGGACACTCACAAGACCATTAAAACAAGTGTATTACTTGAAAGTCTACAGAGGTGGAAACAGCTTTCTCTACTAGCTGTCGTGACAGTTACAGGGAAAAAATTATATTACTAAAGAATGTGATAAAAAAGAATGTTGTAAAAAAGTGAATGGGAAAAAGCAAAACCAAAAAAAACTAAGCTGGATTTCTTAGCCATCTCACTACTCTGATCAGAATGAGGTACACAGTATGTAAGACATCCCAATGTATTTATTTTAACAATAAATATGCCATTTTATTAAAAAATTAATACATTTGATGCTCAAGTCACTTCAATTTTCCATTAAGCCAAATGCCAAAGCTTGCACGTAAATTGAAACCATTTAAGTGGTTTACATTTTTTTTAATCTTTTGCAATTATACAAAGCCGTTGTGCTTCATCTGCTTGAGAAAATCTCTTAACTTTAATACATTCAATAATATTCTATTTAGTTCCACAAAGCTCTCAAAGACTGTGGCAGCAAAGCCCACCTGTCAGAGTAAATATCACTCCACAATGCTCATGGACAAACCTAATAATTTGTGCAATATAGATTGATCCATTTCAATGCACAGGCAGCTTGTGGATTAATTTTCAAGCACAGATATTTGACGCTTACATAGTAGTATTGCTATGATAGCACAAACATTATTTATTTACTTTTTCTTATTAATGGACAGATTAGCCTTACTCTCTATACTGCTGACATATTTACCCTTTTTTCTACCTCCAGCAAAACAGGACAGAAAAATAGTGACATTCCTGGTAGCCTCAGGACTCAGTGGGCTCAAGAGGTAAGTTCCTAGAAAAAGCTGTCATGGGCACCTGATATCACAGTCTGATATCACAGGCAGAAGAACTAGAAAGAATTCCTGATGAGACTGTTTTTTTCATTTCATTTGTCCATAAAGCAATTGGGAGGGAAGTTCAAGAGAAGGAAGTTTTTCTGTTTCTCCACTCCTATCAATTTGTGTAATTATGCTTCATCTGATGACACACAGAAGACTCCCACCAGAAGGTTGTAGGACATTGGTACATTCTGATACATATTCAGTGTCTATACATACTCAGTATTTAAAAAACAAGGCACATAAGCAGCCCAGAGCTTCACTTTTCTTCAAAGAGCAAACCTTTCTTAACAAATGTCAGTGGTAACAAAACCTTCAATTTTCATGTTAGGCAGAAAATCTTCATGCACATATGAAGCATCTTCTGGAAGCTTAATCCATGGCATCACATACAACTTCTCTTTTCCCACTCTTGATGTGCACGACTATAGGGGAACTCAAACATCCAACACACAGTCCTTAACTTCTTGTTCAGCTTTTCTGAAGGATCCAGAACTTTTTGTGACTGACCCCATGTCAACCGACTCCCATGAACTACATGATTATTATGCTGCCCTGAGTTTCCACCTCATCCCTAGTTCTGAGTGACTGCAAACTAAGTTGCTTCTTTGAATCTTACTGCCCCTACCAGACCATAGTCTGTGAACCTCAGACAGCAGATGCCATCTCATCAGAACCCCAGAAAAAACACCCATCTGTGGGCTTCCTATCTGACCACATCATCTCCATCAATTCTTATGGACACCAAAGAAATTAACAAAAATAGAGTAAAGGAAAACTATATTACAGAGGAGAACATAAAAAAACCATATCTTTCCATTTTTACTTCTAACTATGTATTCCCTGCTGCATGAATTTTCTAATCTTAGCAACCAGCAAAGCTTAAGACTTCAAAAAACAGACTGCCCATTAGTTTCAAATTGTGACAATTTTACATTTCTAAGGTACCAGTAAAATAAATTTTCAAAGGGAATGGAGACCTTTTAAGTTAGAAATTATATTTTCAAGTACACATCAGTTAATTAAAATCTCTACTCTCAGTCAACAACTTTCAAAGTACACACACAAAGTCATTGTCCTAAAGTCAATACATTTATGTTTTTAACTGTAGAGTGACTCAGAGTTCAACAAAAAAAGAAACATAATCACCTCCTTTTCTCAATAAATAAAATCCCCATTCCTCTGTCTGTGGAGCAACTCAAATTCTTCACAAAATGTTTCAAAATTCCAGCAAAACTATTGACCTTCATAATTGAAAAAATGGCCAGTCAAAACAACCAACAGGCAATTCTTCCAGGAATTTTCATTAGACTGTTTGAGTGACAGCCACTTAATTGCCAAGTTTTCTTTTTCATGGAAGGCAACTTCAGCTATGCTCAATCAAGAATTTTAGAAAAAGATATTATTTTTTTACTGTCATAAAAATAATGTATTTGCAAACACAGGATTGATAAACTTACTTTTTTCTGTGATCTCTGTTCTAATGTCTGAACTGGAAGTTTTATTTTTCAAATTCTGAGCCAATGTAAAAACAGAATCAAGCTGAGGGTGCCGATGGTCCATATCTGCATTGGTTATCTGTTTTTAAGTCCAAAAAGTAGAAAATAGTTACATTCATCTGTATTATTTACGTAAAAAATTACACATCTCCACAACTATACAGCTGGTCCCATCATTACTGTAACCCTTGAATTGTCACAGCATGATAACACTGCTTTAAAAAGCTAAAATATTGTAAATTGCAGTTACTAAAAATCCAGAGGTGAAGGTTAACCTATACAAACCACATAGTTACCACAGTTGTTGCACAACATTTTCCAATATCTATTTTTCATAGACTTATATGAAAATAAATTTCCATAACTTATTTTTCTCCTAATCAAGCTGGTATCATTTATATATATCAGAAGCAGCAGCGGGTGCAGGAGGAAAGTGAAGAACAACAACTGGAAGAAACAATCAGACTATATAATGTTGCTCTATAAACCATTGCTCTCATTGCTCTCTACATGTACCAGAAGCCCATATTTCAAGTATTATCCAGTTAAAAGAAAGTGTTTCCAAAGCTACATCACATTATTCTTCCAAATTCCAGACTATGTGAAATACTCACAGAAACAGTCTAGCACTTGTTTAGCCTACAGCTTTTACTCTACACTTAGCTAATTGATATTAAGTCAAATAAAATGAACCTTAATAGTTGCATACATCTCACTAATACTGCCCTTAGTCATGGTTCAACATAGCATGAGCTATCAACAGAAATAAACATTTACATCATAAGCATTTATGTTACAACTTTTAATCCTCTTAGCATATCTCTAGAAAACAGTTTAGTGTAACTACAGCAAACAAGACTCATTAGAAACCAGTAAAGAGTGAATCAAAGTTCACCCACTAAGCAAACATGAAGCTGCTCTGAAGTCTTCTGTTTAAGTTAACTATTACAAACCCTAAAAGCTGTTAGGAGGTATTCTCCAATTTCTTTGTTTTAAACAAAAAAAATAACAGTGCTTAGCTCACATAGGGACACAAGGAAAAAAAAAAAGAAAATGGCTCTGAAGGAGAAAGGAGTGTAATAAGAGCATTTAAAGTGTAACTTTCATGTCATGCATTTAGTTGCAGTCAGGGTTTTTTTCCCCCCTTAAGCATGCTATTGCTTTTAATTTCTTTAGTGAGTGTAAGAACTATTAAAATGCGAGACAATTTTCTACTAGCCTTCACAAAACACATACTTTCATTCGTGCAATAGTCCGATTGATCTCTTCAGTATTTCCCACAGTGACTATGTTTGACTTGAGCATCTGGTCAATCAATACCAACCAGTCAGCCAGCTCAGTTCTAGTTTTGTCCAGATCAGCAGGTGCAGAAAGTTCCAAAGCCTGCTGAGTCTGAACAGGAATTTCCAATGAAGAAGATGCTAGCACCACCTTTTGGATATCTGAAACAGAGTATGGGGGTTCTATTAAAGAAGTAGTCATGGCCACATGAGCAGTTCTCAGAATTACAGGGGGCTGTTTGTAATTCCTATAAATACGCAACAGCATCTACAGAGAAAGCACAGCAAAAAATTTATTTTAACAATCAGAAGCTAAGTAATGAGACTTATGCACCTTTAGGGCAGCTATTTTTTTACTGCATGCCAAAAATATTCACCCAAATGTTTCAGCCTACACTCAAAATAAACAAGACAAAAACTTGCAAAGACAAAACTACATTAAACCTAATGGAATGAAGCTAAACACTCATTTACACTTATCAAGCATTAAATCCAATATTTTTTAAGATAAAAATCTAAAACTGTCTTCCTCAGTTTTTTCCTTTGTAGCAAAAAGGTCTTCTCCACTCTTGTCTCAGAATGCACTTAAGCACAAATGAAACTTCTGGAACAGAAGCTTCATGGACTTGGCATTACACAACTCTCTGAGGAAGGGACAGACACCCACTAGTTTAGTCACATCTTTCTCTCTTTTTAACCTGACACAACAAAGTAGTGAGAAATTAGCTGAATGAATAGTAAGATTCACTCCAGAAGTTATGTTCTTGTTCCAAGAAACTCTAAGCTACATCAAGCTGGAGCATGAATATTTCACACTTCCCTCAAACAACAAAACACAGGAGTTTTGTTTAACAAACACAAGGTATGAAAGGAGAAGAAGATGAATTCAAGGTTTTAACAGGATTAAACAGAACTTGGTTTGCCTGAAATTTGTTTACTGGTGCTGAAATTAAAAAAAAAATTAGAGTTCATTCACTGAGGTCTGAGTTGCAAATTTTTTCAGGCAAGGGCTGTCTTCTTTATCTAAATTCCCAAAAGGGAGACCTGAGAATTTTGTTTACAATTTGTACTGTAAATTGTGAATTGCCTCCAACAACTTGAAAATATGACCAGTGTCAGTGTCTGATACAAGAATACATATTTAGACAGCTTTCCCTAAGAGATTCAGGAAGGTAAGTATCTAGCAGATAAGGCAGATCTGTCCCCCTAACCAAGCCAAAAAAACAGAATGGGCTTTATTTATAAGACTGCACAAAATCCACATGCAAGAGATACTTTACAAATAATTGGCAGTATGGAAAGCTTCTAGTGGATTTTAATTAGTCAAAGTCATGACCACAAATCCACAGGAAACATGCTATCACAAACACAGCTATTTTAGTTTTTACTCTGTACCTGATGAAGAGATCTAAGCTTTATAAAAATATCTCAATTTCAAAACTCTTACAGGAACCCCAAAAGACTCCCCCTGTCCTGAACAGTAGAGTGACTTCTTCCCTACCAAAATATTCCCTCTCCCCCATAGTAATGAGAAGGCAGCCTCAAGTTCAACACGACACTTCAGCATTTTTTATTTGTGTAAGTTCATAGTTCTTTCCTTTGTCAATTACTTTTGACTGCAAACAGGATTACACTCAAGGCAATTAAGCAGAACAGAAGGATCAATCACTCACCAGGAGGCTTTGTCTTTGTAACAAAACGGGACGGCCCAACAAATGCCTCCAATTCTCTCACTTTGTCAGGCACTTCTCTGAACACCTAGAGCCCAGCAGAGAAAAATAAAACAGTAAAACAACCTATATTACTGGCAGAAAAGTAATCTCTTACTGGAAGACAAAATATTCTACACATGCCTCAGATATATTTTAATTATTTTTGGAAGGTATTCTTTAAAAAACAATAAAAACTCCAAGAGGTGCTAAAGTGTTTTTTCAATACATTCCAGTGTCACATCTAAATATCAAAAATAAATAAATTGTTGTAGACAGGCCATTTACATGGTTTTTACTGTCTAAGCACCAAAACTATAACTCATTATTTAAATATACATTGAAGAAAAGATGATGCAAAGCATGACTTGCTATCGGTCACATGAAATTAGAGAAATAGGGAACTAATTGACAAAAGAAAAAGTGTTACAACTCCATTGTAGTGAAAAAATATGTACCTATATGCTTTTTAAGAGTTTTTAAAAGCCAGTGATGAATATGCAGTGTTCAAGACAATGAAGGAACTCCTATTTTAATGGCTGAGCTGGTAAAAACACAACTTTTTCTTTCCCCAAACTATCCAAATTCCCTTTTCTCAATAAATTCTTACCACTGTCATCCATAAAATAATCTAAAATAATTCAATTTTTTCATTTGGGTCTCTAGGCTTTGCTTGAAAAAAACCTTGCTTTACTCCAACCAGCCTTGCCATTGAGATTGAACACAGGAGTTTCCAATTTATTATAATTTTTAAGAAGAATCCCAGAAACACTTAGTAAGATTTTATAACCTCTACCAAAGCTTCATTTCTTTTCCTCTTAACTGCTACAAGCATTCAACAGCTATGATTTACTCTAACTCTCAATTTCAAGTTAATACTTTCCAAAAAAAGCCAATACAAACAAACAAACAAAACAAACCCCAAAAAACCCCAAATATAACCAAATTAACTCAATCTGATGGAAAAATGTCCATCAGTATTTTTATGTGTAACTGGTTTGGGGTATGCTTTCTTATCATGCCTGTATTGTTTCTTGATCATTTTATGTACATGCTACATGTCACAGATACATGAAAAGGAAAACAACCATTCCAAGTATATCACTCTATTTTCAACATCAGGTACCCAATGCTAAAGAAATGCACACCTTATTCCATCTCACATTAAGGGACTGCAGGCAATCAGAAAGTCTATTTTTTTCCTGAAGATCAATATTTTTATCCAACAGTACTTCAGATTCAGTTCTGTTCAGCCATTCCAGTTTGTCACCCAGAACTTCCATCTCTTCCCTTAAGACCTAAAATGGACAGAGGGTTTTAGGCTAGAATAAAATGCATACATGCTTAATTAAAGAAGGAGAAAAGCTTTCTTTTAATTCCAATATCAGCCATTTCCCTGAACATAAACAGAGAAGTTTCTATTTTGGTTTCTGTGCTTGATCTAGAAATTATTGAAACATTTATTACCTTTCACTTCCAGCATTTATATTAAGGTAGATGACAAGAAAAATTACACTTTGATGACAAGCAGGAAATACTCAACTGACATAAGTGAATTTATTTAGGCAAACACAACTGCAACTATTTTACATCATTTATAAACACTTATTCAAGACTTTCATCTTAGATTTGGTCTAAAAGAGGTTGATTGGGGGTTTTTTGAGGTTTTTTGTTGCCTTTTTTAAAATTAATGATTTTTAAGAAACGAGCAAGCAGGTTAGTTAGACTGACTACTCCTCTCGTTGTTTTAGGATTTCAGAAACATTTTCTTTTACATATTCTATAAACCAAAGATGTTTTGTTGTGAAAGCCAGACACAAAACAGGAAAAATACATACATATGCACACAACTTACTTAAAATGGCCAAAACCCTTACAATTTAAAAAACAGGTAAGATAAAATCTTGCACACCTAAGAGATTATTACTACTGCCCAGTAAATGGGACAATGTGTTACCATTTAAGGTTATCAGCTTTTTTCTATAGGTTTTAGGAAATATAAAGTTGACAAATACACATCAACTCCAGTGAAATCCTACTTACTAAATTTTATCATCATTGTGTCATACACAGACACCATCTTCTGGCTACATACCAGTTACCAACTCAAACCAACTTCATTTCGAGGTGCATCTTGCCTGCGTAAGTAATCTCACAGAATTGTCTCACAAAACCTTAATATTTCTTTGGCTATTCACAGCGTGAAAATTGCCCTCTTCAAAAGCCACATCCTGATGCTTTACACAAGACATAGATATATACATATTTACACACTAATCAGTCTTGCCTGTAATTCTTGCAAGTTTTCCTCATGGTTGAATGTAAATCTTGTGTCCAGAGCATTTTCTACATTTTCCAACCAACAACGCAGCTCATCAAGCTTCTTTCTGTACTCTATCTGCTGCTGGCTCTCTCCTTTTAGCCTTAAAAGGTGAAACAAGAAGTCCAGCATATCAGTTCTAAATTACTTCTGATGCCATGGTCAACATTTTTTCAGTGCTTGGAGAATTTTAAGGGATTCATTTTATCATCAAAAGGTTCTACTGTCACCATTAAAATGCAAGATATTTACAAATAAATACTACTGTCTTAAAACCAGACAAATTTTAGTTCCAAAGTCATAAAATAGACTTTTAAAAGACTGCAGAAAACATTAAATGTAATTGATAGTAATGACAACACCTTCAGGCCTAATCATTGTAAGGTCACTGAATTTTTCCCCTGGAGGTTTTAGGGACATATATAATACTTGCACTGAATCACACTAAAACTTAATGAAATTCCTCAAATAATTAAGCAAGATCATATTTTATTCCTAAATGTATCAGGAAATGTTAAAAACTCATCAGCAAAGACTTACTAAGCAGTCAATTGTAGGTGGATTTATGAGAAATTTGTTCTAGAAGACAGTTCAAAACAGAGCTCTAAACATTAGGAAAATTCAGATTAATGACAGCATGCAATAGAATGCACACTCTCTCCCAGAGTCTATTCAGTGAAATTTTCCTTATTATATCTGGACAGACATCCAAATTTTTGATTAACTTATTACCTCTGTTGTCTATCCATGACCTCTGTTGTGATTGCTTTCCAGCGTCTATTCAATCCTGCCAGCTTCTCCTGTAGGAAGCTCCCATCTGTAGCAGACAGTTTCTGGATGATCCCTTCCCCAGTTCTGTTCAATGCTGAAATACTGGTCTGATGGCTGCTGATTCCCTCTTCAAGTTCCTGTCAGAAACATAAAAGCCACACAGAATTTTATTACTGACCTGAAGTGACTTTGATCTGGCTCATGATATGCAGGATGAATCCTGGGTGCATATTATTTTACTGAAAAAGACACTTAAAAACATATTACTTAGAAATGGATGCTGTTGACAAAGTTATTAATGCTCATTTACTGAATCTAATTCAATTTTCTAGGTGTCATAAAAAAATAGTGACACAGAATAGGCTATGAATATTACAAGAATCACAAGAATTCATTTAAGCCACCAGTTCTAAAATCAACACTCATCTCTGATTCCTTTTCTCTAAATGTACAGCACTTCCTAGTGATTCTAACAGATGGTCTGACTTTTAACCAGGTTGTTTCATAATCTATACCCCAAATATTTCTTTACCTTCAGAGTATTTTAGCTAGGATAATTATGGCAGTGCTGCCATGGTCCCAGACACCACAGAAAAATCCACAAAGCTAAAGAAACATGTCAGGATTAAATCTTCAAACACCCCTAATGACTGCAGAAATCTTACACTGTCAGCAAAAATTTCTTTATAACTTGATTAGGAATAAGGTGATTCAAGAAAGAGAAATGAAATGCCCTAGAAGAAAACTTCAAGCAGCAACAAGGATAAAACAGAAGCTGTGTCTTAGACAGAACTTACTTTTCTTTCACAACACACATCTGACACTTGGATGCCTAATACTCTCAAAAGAAAAAGAAAACCTGATCCTTAAAGTTATGCTTTCTTCTCCTTATTTAAAAGTAAGTACAATTTAAAAATATCAGGGAACTAAATTCCAGAACCAAAATCTAAAAAAAAAAAATCACATGTAAGACCCCTGTAATTAGAATCTTCTCTTTTTCTAGATTGTTTATACAAGGCAGTATCTCCAAAAGACATTTGTTTAAACAAATAATTTGCTAAGTTATAAATGACCTTTATTGGGGTCCATTTTTTTTAATTACGAGTGAAAGGTAAGTGAAATAATACACTGGATTTTTTATCTAATTAACATGCTTTTGAAGCTGTAACAAAACTTATAAACTGAAAAATTATGCCAACATTTGAATTATCAAATTATTTCAAACCAATCAGTTTGATCAAGGATTTACTAAGAGTGATCAAATAAGCCCATATAAGCAGGAGTTGAGCTCTTCTCCAAGAATAAATTTTAAACTGCAGCCAAAATAGAAATGTTAATAGTTACTGCTTTTTGAAGTGTAATTGCACAGCCTGTCTGTAAATCCATATGTCTATCTATAAAACTACAATTTTAGCCAAAAATCTAGGCTGTTTCCAGCTTGCTCATTTTCTGCCCAATCCCACATACCTGCTGGTGCAGCCCAGCTGCCTGCAGCTCCAGGCTGCCATCCGGCCCCCGCGCATCAGCCAACAACTCTTCAGCCTCTGCTATCCAGTGGGAGAGATCATTGAGATCACAGTGGAACTGCCTCCACGCCTCAATCGCTCTATCAAAGCAACTGTGGGAAAACAAAGGATTGAAAAATTATCCAAAATTTCAGTTAGAACACTAGGAATCCCATTCCAGCGAGTAGAAATTTGCCTTACAGAACAGAAAGACTAACACACAGCCTGGTTAACCAAGTCCTAGCACTGAAGGCTTCCTGGCACAGTAGCAACTGGTGAAAGCCAACAGCACAGACCATCATTAACTTCCAGCTGAAGGAAGAAAGGGCAGTCTTCAGCAAACTTGTTCTATCACTTAAAAAATAAAGATTAATTAGCTACATCAAATTCGTCTGCAGAACCCTCTCCTCCTTTATCATGAAAATTCAGCTATCAGACAGTGTGATATATGATGAATTGATCAGATTTTTTTTCCCTCCTTCATAAGGAGTAAATGGGGTGCTGGTGTCCAGAATTTATTAAGTGAAGGTGATTTTGATTATATGGATTATATATTTGATTATATAGTATTACCAGTGACCACACATAAGTAGGTCTTATAGAATTTAATCACACAATAATTTACCAGATACTTCATTGTCATAATCTTTGTAGCCTCAAATTAATGTTTCTTAATTTGAAGGGCAACATCTTCTTGCATGGAACAGACAGAATAACCACAGTCAGAAATTTGTTTCTTAATAAAATGAGAGTTCTGTTATGTTAACAAGCTAACAAAGTGAGAACATGAGAAAAACATGTCAGAAAGGAATGGAGTGGCTTGTTTCTATTTGTTGATTATTAACTATTCCAAACTAATAAAACCAGTCATCTTTAAAGACCTAAGAGGCTAAGACTGCTGTTAATCAGAGGACCCTCTATTTTGACTGAGTAACTATGTCATTTGCAGCCCATTATTGCAAATAATTGCAACAGTAAAGACTCCAGGGTTATTGCACATTTACTGATAGAATCTGAAATTAGCAGCATAACAAAGATATCTAAAACTGAACTTTAAAGAGCTACCATTTCAACTATATTTTCACTAATTAATGTCAACAATCCTATAGTTCTTAGTGAGATTAATTTCATCAAAATTAAATCTCATTTTACAAAAGATCCATATTTCTTGATATAAACATGGCTTGTTTTTGTTATTATTATTAGCCAGTTAACATGTCTTAAAAGAAGTCTTACAAATTTAAGACTTAAAGAAGTCTTAATAATCTCCACTTTAATTTTTCTAACCTAATCTCCTAGGTTCTACCATTTCAGTTTCAACATATACCCTAGACCAACCTGTACACTGACCCCAAATCTCAGTGTCCCTTTATTTCTCACATACGTTTCAGTCTAAGCATATTGTCTCATGACAATAACTCATTCCACATTTAATGAGAAGATGCATTCTAAGCACTTAAAGCAGATTAAAAGAAGGTTTTATAGGTTTCCTAAAAATTACAGTTTTTGAGGGAGTTTTGGCCACATAACTTTTTCAGAATACAGACTTTTAAGCCTTCAGAGAACACTGAGATACAAAGTTTTAACTTGTGCTATTTCTGTTGTGATACTGCAGGTCTATAAGTATTTTGAGCAATGAGCCAAGTTTCACTCCAGTTTTGAGTCAGATGCATGTGCTGCTGTTTCCCTACAGACTACCTCATCTGAAAGCTAAAAGTACCAAATTCCTGTGACTACTGCACCAAAACTTGGCTATCATTTGCCTCCTCTGCAGGAATCCACTGTTTCCAAACCACATCTCATTCCCAAGTCATCAACATTCTTAGCACTGGGAGAAAACCCACAGCAAAAGCCACAGACCTGGCAAACCAGCACAGTTATAAACAATTCAAAACATTAAGTCTATATATACATACAAAATACACACATTTTACTCTACACATGTTCAAATGCAAGTGTAGTCAGCTGGATTTAGTTGACTACTTGGAAGCTTTGCTAAGTAAAGAAGAATTAAACTCGTGCTTGGCTTCATCAGCGCATTTACCAAAGGTTTAACTACTTAGATGACATTCAATCACAAAATCTTTACTACCTCTGAAAACTAAATCAATCTTTTGCCAGAGGCTTCAGATGCTGCTTCTTCTAATTTTGTCAAAATTTCCACCCACTCCAGAAATAGAAAAAAGCCAAAGATTATTAAGGAGATAGTCATCCAGCTTATACTTAGTGCAACACTGGGAAAAGCAAGATTAAACTTGACTAAGAATTCTTCTTTGTAACAGAAAGGAATTAAAAACACTAATGCCATTTTAATATTGCAATTAATAATGTCTTCAGTGATCAAAGACCATGCTTCTACTAAAATTGCAGCATTTTATACATTCAAGAAGCTACATATAATTTATCTAAATTAGTAGTCCAGTAGTGCCTTTCTGTATGAAAATGAAGCCCAATGTTATTCTCATTAATATGGAGAGCTTTACAAACTTTATGAAGGTCAAGATTAATTTGTATCAGCAAAGTGACTGAAGAGGCAATCTGTTGCATTTTGCCACTTCTTCATAAACAATGAACTTACTCTTTGAACTTCACTTACCTTTTCCAATAAGAAGACTAGGTTTCTGGTTAGCCCTGGCTACTTAATCAAAGCAAATCTGAGTAGTAAATGCAACTGTACTCAGGAAACATTACCATTACTTAAAGCTTTTCAAGTAAGTTACAAGTGGAAAAAGAGGCATAACTAGCTTAAAGTATACAGTATATATGAGGACAATAAAATAGCTATAGGCATATAAATATGGGTGGGCACCAGATTTGGGAACTGTCTCCAAATTCAGCAGGTGACCACGAGCATTCAAGCAAGAGCACAGAAAGTTCTACATAGCTGGCATCACTGTTTTCTAATTTAAGAACCCACAGTGAAACAACATTGCCTGCTGAGTTATTAGAAATCTTGATCCTTCACTCATTCAGGGGCCTAGAGTTTCTGGAAGTCTCTATTTAGATGATACAACCAACTGATTTTTATATCCCTACACATTTATCAGTGCTCTGAGAAAGAGCTGGAAACATCTGCTTATGTAATACACACTCTTCCTCAAAACATCTCTTAAAAATACACTACCAAATGGTTTTGAAATCAGATTTCTGGTGCTTCAAAGCAAGTAAACGTGGTTAGGCATACCTTATGCTCTACAAAACTTCTGCAACATCCATTACCTTACATCATCATTAAAAAGGAAATACCATAAAACAAATGAACTACAGTATAAGCCTTTGCATTTAATTAAAAATTTCATAGAATAAATTTCAGTTATTAAGGGTTTTTTTGCATAGCAGCAATCTCAGTATGCAATGCTGTTTGCAGTGTGAGCGCCTTCAGCTTAGTGGTAACTTTCTGAACACGTACTTTGACACATTTACAAATTCCAAATTAAAATACTCCTCTAATACACTTTCCCAAGAATGCCTAAGTGGCATTGAGTTGATTTGAAAAATTTAAAACTGATTCAGATAATGTAAAAAAGTTTAATGTGTCTTCTGTAAGGGGTGGAGAGAAATCAAACTTTTTACCCAAGTGGCAGGGAAATTAGAAACGTCTATTTCTTAAACACTTATTTTAGTATTCTCTTGGTTTCCTAACCTCAAAATTTTCTAATCAGGTTGTCTCTTATCTTCAAGTACTTACAACAAATATTATTGACAACTGTCATAGGAGCTATATTTTAAAGACCCCATTCTTTCAAACTGCAGCCTTCCTTCAAAAAGCAAAAAATCAACCTTGAATTCTTAATTAAAAGATGTCCTACTCAACATTATTTTTCCAGAAGTTTGCTTTGTGATGCCTTTACAAAACCAAAATTTTATGTTCTATAAGCAAAACCTTCTATTTCATAAACTAGAAACAATGAGCTTCATAAAAGCAACCGAACTAATTTCCATTTTAACAGTTTCAACATTTAATAATTCTGGAAATTATTTTATAATACCAACAAATAAAAGCTGATAACACCCAAAGTCAACTTCATCATTAAGGTCCATTTGAAAAACACTTATATAAACATGCACATAAAGTATTTACCACATGGCCACAGAGACCAATCATGCTTGACTTACCACTTTCGATCATTGTACATTCTATTAATTCTGTCCCATTCTGCATTCAGCTGTGTTAGTGCATCTCCTATTTGTATTGCCTCAGGTCCAGATGCTTCCAATATAACATCAGGCTGCTTTTCATGGATTACTGCAATTTGATCCCCAAGTTTATCCAAAATATCTTTTATGTTCTGCAAGTACAGTAATGGCACAAGCCATTAGTAAAGTCAACACTAGCAGGAAATAAAAGAAAAATACCAAAATAAAATATTTTCAAAATTCTTTTCCAAAAATTAGCATCTACAGTAAGACCATGACCACCAGTATCAGCAGTTTACAATTTAAATCAGTTTTAGCAACTGAGCTGAATAGTTCATCTTACCCTTTAAACATGTATTCTTTTCAGGATCTATGAAAAGGATGTAATAATTCATATATATCTAATTTGTTCCTAAGGTAAAGAACACATCATACTTCTCAAAACAACAGTGTCTTCACTATTAAACAAATCTGCCCACGACACTACGCATACTCTTTCCTCATATACAAAATGGACCACAACATGCAACTTCATCATGCTACATGTAAACTCCTATATGCAGAGAACTCCAAAAGAATAAGGCTGCATAAAGGCTTTAGATTTAAATTACAAAGTTAAAGTAATCAATTTTAAATACCACTGAACTATGATGTGAAAATTACTTTAAACCAAATACTGTTGTAAGACTGCCTTGGTATTCAGAAGACAAACAGTCCATGCAGACAGTGGAATTTACTTATCTTTTTGAATTTAAAACAGTAATACTTGTAAAAATTCTATGCTCTGCTATTTGCTTTTTCTGAAAACATCCTTAGACTATACCAAAACTTCAAAATTAGATGAGACACCTGCACTAAAATTAAGTATTTTAAACCTGCATTAACATAGCCACACCTAACTGCACTCAAGGCACCACAGAAACAGAGTAAGCAGGGGTAAGAATTTCATCAACAAAACAAAGGCTGTCTCCTTTACCAAAAGCTGGCACCATCCCCATTTCTGTTTTTATAAAATATACAAAAAAACCAAAACATGAGAAATGGAAGCATGTACACAGCAGAAAGAAAAGCATATCAGAAAAATGGACTGGAATTCTGAAAAGCTTTTAAAGGACCTACATAACAGCTGCAGAAACAGCTAATCTAGCTCTCTGTGAGATGCAGAGCCCAACTACACCTCAGATATGACACATGGACCCCACTGTGATTCCCAGTCCAGAGAGGTACATCTACATTGCACCATGCCATGTGTAATTCCCAACTCCAATGGATGGTTTCTGAGGGAATCTGTTTCACACTCTTTTGTATGCTAAGAATTAACCAGGGCTCAGATTTCTCCATACTCAGCTCATATTTGACAGCAGGATTCAGTATTTTCAAGCATAATTTCTTCATCTCCTTTTGAAATAGGTGAGGTCCTCAACTATTTCCTCACTACTAATCACACAGGTAAATCCACTGGCTGACAATAAGAAGGGGAGCTTAAAGCTGAAAAAATATTGCTGTTTTGTTCATCAGAACAGGTACCATCGTCTTGTGGCCTCACACACAGCTTCATAAAAAGTCAAGAATCACCCTTTCTCCTGGTCCTGTTTGAGCAATTGTTTTCACATGACCTAAGAACAGCAGCTGTATTAAGGCTATCAAGCAGGAATGTAAGGAGATTTGCTTTAGCATTTCTCTAAGTGTTATGTAGAGTATGATGAGAAAAATACAGGTGTCCACAACAAATTAAATCTTTCTCCCTCAACCTCCCACCCAGTTTTCATGTTGTATCCAGATTATGCATAGAAAAAAATTAGCCAACAGAACTGTCATTTTTTAGTTTCCAGTGCATATTGATCCTGTATATACCAAGCAAAATCATAAATGTAGCAATAGAGTTGTAAAGGTGGTGGACTTTCTTCTGCTGCTTCCCTTCTCCACTCAGAATATAATGCTTAGGCAGTACCTTCAGTGCATCTTCCTGAGCTGAAAAATCCTCATAGATGCCAGTATTCAGCTCTGGTGCATTCAGCAGCAGTTCAACATCAGCCATGGCCAGCAAAACTTTGTTGATTTCAACCAAGTACTCAGCTGAGAAAGGCAAGGTCCTAACTCCTGTAGCAAATTGGCCTTTTAACCTCTGCTGGACAGGGATTGCCTAAAAACATGAAAATTAATTTTATATTTAAAACAACAATTTTATGAAAAAAATCCTAAATCAATAAACTATACTCACAATAATTATTTTTGTACATTAGAAGAGAAAACAAAGGCTTTTCTAGCAAGATTATATTATTTCAGATAGCTGCGAGTCCTGCACAGGACTGTTTATTTATTTTAAAAGTTAGAAAACAGTTGATATCATGCCTCAAAATTACTCCGTAATATTCTTGATTAAAACTCCAAACAATGGGAAGGGTACCACTCTAAGTGTGTCTTAACTTGATCCTTACCATTTCCAGAAATAACACTTCTTGACTGAGCCTGTATCTGGTGTTACAAGCTACTCTGTTTCCTTCATCACCAAGACACCAATTCACTGAAACACTTATTCCCCATCTACATTCTTTTCAATAAGCATCCCCACCCTCACCCACATTTTCTAACCATTTTTAAAAAATAAATTAGTGCTCCACCAGTACTCCAATATTTTGCAGCAATAAGACAGTAACGCCTCCAGAGCTTGCCAATTGTTTTCTGCTCTGGCTGCGAGGCTAGGCAATCTAGCCAAGTTAGTAGATAAGAGAGTAAGAACAGTAATTTAATGCAGCTTTTTCTTGGCTCACAAATAGTGGCTGGATCTGAAACATTGGGAAGATTGCTACAGGAAGCTATCCCTCTGCCATGCCTGGCAAAAAATTAGCAGAGGCAGGTGAAGCAGACTGACAGAAAACATTTTTAGCAGAAGATGTTTATTGTCAAACAGGATTCCGTTACCATCTCTGAAAACAGCCTAGTTCTTTCAAATTACTAAATAAAAGAAAGCCCACTTCCAAATATTGAAGAACTCAAACAACTTTAAATTACCACGTTGTACTTGGTAAGCGAATCAAGCAAGATAGAGGCACAGGACTGTGGGATTTGCTAACAGCTAAGAACACTCTAAAGAGTGAAGAAAAAAATGTATGTTCATTGCAATTTCAGCCAGTGAATTTTACTTTGCAATTTGTCTGAGCTGGGTGCACACATGAAAATCTCTAGCACAGCTGACAACCAATAAAATATTAAAGACCCACTAACCAAGTGGCTTGCAAACACCTGTCTGTATCTTTCTCCTTCACATGTTCCTGAGAATTTCAAATATGTCACTCAAATTAATGGGAACCTAACATTACCAGCACATGTAGTGCAAATGAAGCAAGGACTGCAGCAGAAAAGATATGTTCACATGTTCAAAATTCAGGACTTCACATGCACTAAGGATCACATGTTCCCAAGGATCCCAAGGATCATCTTTGTTTTGTGTTAGTTTGTTGTTGTTTTTTATTGTTTTGTAAAGCAGTCGTCCTGTTCTGAAACTGGGGACACAGCTTTTCTTCCACAAGACTTTTACCACTAAATACGATTTGCTCTCAGTCACTCATTGCACACCAAAGAAACAGGATGCATAGCATCCATAAGCATAGCAGTATAAGTCTATTGAAAATAAGAATTACAGAAAAGCATCACAAACTACTCAGTACTCAGTACTGCTTTTGATTCAGTACAGCAAGCAAGCACCACAGTTAAAAACAAGGCTTACTCCACATGCTTTAACTACAAACTCTCTTTGTCCCTGATGCTCCCCAAATGCATTTTCTTGAGGCTCTGCAATATATTTTATCGGCTTCCATCAATGAAATTCAGAGCAAAAGCCCAAGGCTTAGACAGTGGTACAATTTCCTGTAAAAAGAGAGAGTCCCAGTTCCTAAGAAATCAGACGGTCTGTGCAACTCAAAGTATGTTTTCCTAACAACACGAAACATTTCACAGTAAGAAAAAACAGCAGGATGCCTTCTACAGCAGAGCCATCTGCAAAATCTCCACAAGGTGTTTTCTCTAACTCCCAATCATTCCAGAAGTCCCATTCTCACACAGGCGACAAGATTCAGAATCAAGACTTCACCTGCATGAATAGGTCACTGGGCTTTACTATGTTTCCACTTCCCACACACTGCTTTGTCTCTCATTAAAAAAAAACTTGCACAAGATTTAAAACATCATGTGTTGGCACGCAGCAAACTTGTTCTGTACTCGAACATTGACATGTTCTGAAAGTTTCTGCTTTCCCAGTAACACAATTCTGGGCCAGATTACTCTCTTCTGCTAAGCAGTGAATTCCTCCTGAAGCTGCTGCTCCTCCTTACTAATCTCCTCCAGCTGCCTCCCATCACTGAGATGATGCTTCCTCCTCTCACAACCCTCATTCTTAAAGGTGAACATATGTAAGTGCTATAAACACATTAGTGCTTCAGTACAGCAGAGTTTTAATTGTTCAGCTGTTTTCTACTTTGCATTGCAGACTGGAAGCTTCTAAAATGCAGCATAATATGCTAAAAATAGAAGTGGAGTTTTATGTAGCTCTCTCACAGTTACCTGATAAATACCTAAATATCACAGAAGTTGGTTTTGGTTGCTTGGCTCTAGTTAAATAAGGAAAAAAAAAAAAAAAACTCATGTAAGCAACCTTTTCGCAGAATCCAAATGGTTTAGGTTGGAAAGGGACCTTAAAGATCATCTCATTCCAAGCCCCCTGCCATGGGCATGGAAAGCTTCCACTACATCATGTTGCACAAAGCCTCATCAAACCCATACTAGAACACTTCCAGGGATAGGGAATCCACAGCTTCTATGGACAACCTGTTCTAGTGCCTCACCACCCTCACAGTGAAGAATTCCTTCCTAATTTCCAATATAAACCTACTCTCTTACAGATTAAATCCACTGTCCCTTGTTTTATTCCTCCATGCCTTTGTAAAAAGTCCCCTCCAGCTTTCCTGTAGGTACTGGGAGGCTGCTATATGAATTCCCCTGGAGCCCTCTCTTCTCCAGGTTAAAAGACCTCTCGGTCTTTACAGGAGCAGTGCTTCAGTCCTCCCACAATTTTTCTTAAGCACATACAAATAAAAAGTTAATCTAAGGTTATTTAAGAGGAAATCTGATGGGATGACTCAATAGTCCTTTTCTACTTTAATTTCAGTGTTGGAACATGCTTAATAAATTTGCTCTCTCTTTAAATACTACCAAAAACAAAGGATTGGGAGAAAAAAGAGAAGACTTGGTTATTACTGAACATTTTATAAGGTCACTCATTAAGAACAGCTAAAAATGCTTTTAATTTGGAGGTTAAATAAAAATATATTTCCTCCTATACTGAGCATACAGTTTAACCTACAATTCAGAATTCAGTTTCAGGTTTTTTTTCCCCTCTCCCCTTCTACACTTAAATATAGTTTGAACAAAATTTACCAATGATTTGACTCAATAAGATTTTCTGACTTGCTTCCAAGTGGATTTTGGAAACTATTGCCCTAGATATTAACATAAAATTAAATAATTTACCTCCTTGGATGTTTAACTATATGAGCCAGTTTTTAAATCTCAAGATATTTCAGAGACAGTCTTCTAAAAAAAAAAAAAGGTTTCCCAAAGCTCATGTCTATTTAATTAATGCAGTCCGCAAACAATTATTCATATTTAAGTAATCCAGAACCTTTCCTATAAAAAGGAAAAGCATATTTTCTTCATGACAGAAATAATACTTAAAGAGCCTTCAAGACAATGTCTGCTTTGGTTTATAGGAAAAAATGCACTGTGCCTTCAACTGCATATTCACTGTAATTGCAAAATTACCAATATTCACCATCTGAAAAATTACCATTTTTACTTCAAAACAATTTCGTAAAACCTGGAAAAACCTCTCAGGAATTTAGGTAATGAATTACCTCTGCAATTTAAGGTTTAATTCTTTTCTTTCCCTCATTTTGAACAATGGCAGATAGTCCAATTTAAATAAATACTAAAGCACTGTTAGAACAGAAGGACCTCTAGGAAATGCAGACTTCCAGTGCAGGATTTTCTTGCTAATGGATCTGTGGCAAAACAAGGCTTACTCAAAAGTACCTACAATGCAGAAGGATTACCAATATTTCAAAGATATTTTAACTCCATAATCCCTAGAAGCATAAATAATGAGGAATATTTAAGATCCAGGTACTTCCAGCAAATCAATATATAGATATGACCTTCAAGCACCATAAATAAGTCCTCTTTTCCACACTTGCTTACAAAAGCATAAATAATGTATTTCATAAAAGCTCAATTGAAGTCTACTCCCCAGCTCAGCAGCTGAAATCTTTCTTTCCCTCCCTGTTTTGCTCACATCAAACAGCAGTTTGTCCTTCTCTCACTACAGCTTCCTTACATCAAGGTGAATGCTTAAGCCACCTGCACACCAGCAGGTCAAGAATTCATTTAGCACTTCTCAGTCCTAGGCTGCAATGAGCAGCAAGCACTGCAATTTTCAAGTCTGGTGGCTTCAAGAAAATTCTGGAGCAACAGTGATTATCTAAAATGATGATATTATGGAAGACCATTTCTCCCTTTAGCAACGTTATGGTCTCACACCATTTTCAGTGTTCAAGAATGATTAGTAGAGCCATAAAAGTAAAATAAGGCCACTTGAAACAAGCTGCCTTAGCACTCAAATATCAGAAATGCCCAGGAAGTAAAAGCAGCAGTTTGAATTTTCAAGTTTCACACCAGTAATGAAAACTTCTGTGGTCTTTTTCTGATGATCTAGCTGACCTGAGCAAGGATAATGTTTCTCCATCAACAGTCTATTGTAATTGCTACGGTAATCCATATTGACATGACATTCTGCATTCAGCAACCAGATTCACTTATCCAGGAATTGATCTAGCAGTCGCAGGGATTAGCTGTAGTTTATCCCTTTAAGAAATGGCCTTTACAGTATCTTCCTTAGAGACGATCAGTCAAGCTGCAGCAGGACTAATGGTGACAGGGAGGATCCGTCTGAGGCATGTCTGGACTGCCCCCATTAGCAAAGAGCCATGCAGGTGCACCATTTTTCCATTTCTGTCCAGTAATTGATTGATTCAATGCATCTGATCATCAAACAGAAAAGCTGAATGATGCTGTTTTACATTAAATACACATGGATCCCCATTCCCTTAAAAAAAAATTCCATGGCATCAGTCAGGTCCCCAGGCTTATGTCACCAGAAGAGACTGCTGGAGACCCAACAGAGCAGTCAGATGTCAGACTGTTCTACAGACCCTGGGCCCTCTTTGCTGCCCAGCTCTTCATGTGAGCCTTATAATGTGAAACAGTCTTTCTAAAGAGCAGCAGATCCTAAAGTTGATGTTGAATGGCCTGTGTTACAAAGGGCAGCAGACATCTATCACCTGCAGCTGAAGCCACACAGCACTAGCTGTGAACAAAGAACACCACATCGTGATTTTGTGGTGTGAGTCTCACAGGGAGCCAGAGCATGTTACCCCTGCTTCCAGATTTATTGGTACTGGGTTAAAAAGTTACAAAGCAGTCAAAAAGATTTATAGATGTTAATTACAAACCCTTATATGCAGAAATTGAAAATTCCTTGACAGATGACCCAGCCCTCAAGCTTGTTCAAGACATTATTTACTGTTTCACAAGGTTCTTCACTGTTATTGCCTAAAATATTAATTAATGTAATTTCCACAAAAATAAGTGTTTTTAAAGATGGAGGGGAGAAATAAAAGATTTAAAAAACACCACCAAAAAATATCCACAAAGCCACAATAAAAGTAATCAAAAAATATCTGTATCCTCAACAATTAAAACATACAACTTTATGGGCAGTCAGTTTTATCAGACTCTGGCATCATATCGGTTGCAAAATTGTTTGTCAAGACCCAACACACATTATCAGAAATACCACAACCTTTGTCTGTTTTATTAATATTCATTGTGTACAGTAATATCCATTACATGAGGGCAGTTATCACTCTCTAAGCACTTGAAGCAGGAAAGGACAGCAGAGTAGTTACAATACCCTGACCACAGGACGCAGAGGCACTGAATTTAAGCCTCAAACAAGGCTTTAATCATACCTGCACCAAACAGATATTAAATCTGGCTGTTTGAGTTAAGAGTTTTTAAAAAGGGTTAAGTGTAATCCTCATGAATCAGGACTGGCAAGACAAACTTTCCTGAATCAGGCTCACTGTCCAGATAACAGTCTAAGATTTGGGTCTGAAGGATGAGATCTTTTGAACCTATGATGACCACATAGACATCCCAAAATAGCACATGTTGATAATTTCCTAATAAAAAAATGAATGCTGTCATTTTGAAACACTTCTTTCCACAGAGGCATCCAAAGAAGATCACTAGACTAGATTAAACTCCAGTGTATGAATCTCCAAAGTTCATACACACCATTAACTCTTTGCTCTAAGAAACAGAAGCCTCATTTACCTGTAGTTTTTGTTCATCCTCCACACCTTGCAGCCCTGACAGACGGTCCTCAGCCTCATTCAGCCACTTCATTAGACTATCATGTTCCTTCTTATACTGGGAAAACACTGGAGAGAGTTCCACCACCTGCCTCCTTTGAAATGACCTGCACTCCTACAATCCATTGTATTAGGAAAATATGGTGTAAAAAGAGGGAAGTAGTGAACAGAATAGGTCTTATTTATTTGAAAAACAACAGTACTTGAGGGATTCATTTGAAGGAGCAAATTCCAAAATTTGCAATACTATTAATTTATTTTTGTAATAGCTATATTCTCTTTATCTGCATAGACATGTAATGAAAGCCTGCCTGACAGTCTTGCCCTGCCTCTTTGAACTACACCTCAGCTTGCCTACTCTAGCATGATTCAAACAGATGAGCTAAAAGGAGCATTTTTGCTCTACACAAAGCCATTTTTAACACAGCATGTGTATGCAAGCACCACAACATGCAGCAGTCTGCAATTACTGCTAATACCCTCGATAGGAAGGAAGAGGAATTTGGGAGCAGGCTCAGTCACACAAAAGGCTTATGCTGAGAGGTTGGTATGTTTGTGCACATGTGTATACGCAGTCACTCTTCACACAGCCTGGTGGTGGAGATAAACCTCTGTTCAAAGGCCAGCAAAAACAGGTGAAGCAAATGCCCAATTCTATGTACCCACCTGTCTGGATCAATACATAGGGTGGCCTTCTGTGATGCTGTGAAAAGGACTTTAATAATCAAAACCACTCCCCCAAAACCCAGAAATGGGAAAATTAATATTTTGGAATTGCAAACATTCAGAGACTCAGGTTGTGTGCACGTACACTTAACTCTTCCCCAGAGAATCACATATGTTGAAAGAGTCTTAAGTTATAAACTATGGTTGTAAATGGGATACCAAAGGGAAAATTGATAAATGAGCTGTAGTAACTACCATAACTGTACCTGCAAACTGTTGTACTTTTTCTGCAGAAGCAACAACTGTAGGCGGATTTTCTCTCTCCTATGGTCCTCCATAGGCTGCTGGAGCATCTGTCCTCCTTTCTGTAAAACTTCTTCAATCTGAGCTCTTTGTTGATCCAGCTAAAATTACACAAATCTCTATTATCTACAGAAATTAATTTTAGAAACATTAACTGCTCAGATATTAACAGTAATTGTACCAAGCTTTTGTCTTATCATCCAAATGAGAGCCAAACAAATTTAAGCAGAGATTCTCCTCAACAACTATAAAATCATAAAATCCAACTTTCCATAAACTTTATAGATGTACTGAAAGAAGTTTAATGAGCCAGCAGTACGCATTCACATCAATAGGGTATTATGACTTTAGCTCCATTTCTATTCTAGACATTCCTTGACAATAATAAGCAAGCTCCGAGTAGAACAGGACAAAAATAAAAATTCAATAAATATAAAAACAGTATAAAAGGAAAGCTATATTCTATTGCAATGGGCTCTTCTATAGAAATAGTTTAAAATTTGTGTTCTGTAATATACATGGCATTTTCCAGACTTATGTCCAGCTTTCCAGCTTATTTTATATCATTTGAGCTGCTTAAAAGGAAGGCAGATAGAGTGGCCTGGCAGAAATTTACCTGACTTAGTAGGCAACAAGGCCATAGCGGACAAGATGCTAACAAAACTATTTGGTTTATATGGGTGAGTAGCAGAGTCTAGTTAAGAATCTAGAAGATAAGTTTTGTTCAAAGCTTTTATTTGGACTTTCAAGATAGAGCAATATTACAAGACTCTTACTTGCACCTTACCTCAATCATCCTCTGACCTCACCTATGCACTGTGATTCATTTTATCATACCAGTTTAAATTTGAACCTTATTCAAACATCATTCAAATACAGGAGGAATTTCTTACAGAGAGCTACTTGAGTAGGAGATAGAAGATAGATGAACAAAAATCACAGTTCACTACTTGTATTCTATAAAATTGTGATGAAAATACAAACTCAAATATGATTAGTTGCACTCAGGCCAGCAGCCAAGAGGCAAAAGCTATGGGAAAAGTATTGGAAAATTGTGCAGGGTATCCAATAACTTAATAGTTTCCTTCCTTTTCTACCCTTAAGACATTCCATCAGAATTCCCCCTCAAAGTCTGGAGCAATGCAACATGGGGCCAAAATAGGAAGTTTTTAAATTTTTTTTAATTGTTCCATTGCTCACAAACCTTCTCATCTTCCCCACTCAACTCCAGATGCTTTTCCACTACTTTTAACATATTCTGTATGTCACTCTCAAATTTGTCCAGGTCTAGAAAAGCCACTCTAGCTTCACGGGACTCTGACATGACAGGAAGTCGTTCTTGTCCAACAAGCATCTGCAAAGCAAAATAAAACCTGAAAAAGCTGAACATTTAGTCTGAACTGTCCCATACAATCCCACATGAACAGGTATATCAGTACATGACCATTAGATATCAGTATAAATCAAAACTTTCAAGAGTTATATGATCTGAGAGATAACTTGAACACACTCAGTAGTTATTACCAAGTTTCTATGTTCAAACTTCAATCTGAGTATTTTGTCCTCAAAATAAATGAAAAATCTCATCACATTAGCTTATGGTATTGTTTTGTAGCTCAAAATATGTACTGCAATATATACAATTTTCTGAACAGTTGTTTGTAAATTTTCCTATGAAACACAAGTCATCACCTGCTACTCAGGTAAAAAAGACAGCTGGTCTAAAAATTAATCTGTTTTTCATGTATAAATACCTACACTTAAAAGAGAACTCAAAAGCAGCAAAGTGCTGTTCTAATTAAACAATGACCTCCACTACAGCCAGTTGCCATCTTCTTGGCACAGACCTCCCAGGCAAGTTCTGGGGCTCGTTCATCCTCACCTTGGCACTTTTGATGTGCTGAGAGACCTTCTCAAAATTACGGTTGAGTTCTGCCAGTTTAGGTTCAACAAGTTCCCGGCACGACACGCCCCGACTGCTCATTAAGATGACAGCCTGGTCACGGACATTATCCACTCGGAGACTGACATCATCAAGTTCAGATGTTAGACGCTAAAAAGTGAAAGAAAATGAAAATGGTCATCTCCTAGGCAAGGAAAGAGACATCTAAAAATAAGCAAAGTGAAGCAAATTTGACATCATTCAGAATCCATGAGTTGACCACTAATATTTTGACAGATGACACAACATTTCCTACCTTCACAGTTTCCTCCTTTTGGCTAGCTGACTTCTTCTCAATTTCATCCAGTAAGGCTTCAGCCTGATACAACCAAGTACTTATGTGGGCAACATTTTCATCAAAAATTTCCAGCTGGCCCTGATGATTCTGGAAAAAGATGAAAAAAAATGTATGAGAAACTTCTAAAAAACCCACCAAAAAATCCCAACAACAAAAACCCCACAAACTCAGAAAAAAACATCAAATAAATCAACCCAGCCAAAATTTTATGAGTAGAAAGCAGATTGATAAAATAGTGTCATGGACACACTTTGGAACAAAACACTGAAAATTAGATCATACCTTTCATCTTCAACAGTATTTACAAAAATTCAAATTTCATTCTAGACTCTTTGATAATATAATTTCCAATTCACAGAAAGGGAAATAGAAGTAGCTGTGATAGTTTGTACAATTAAAGATAGACAATGTATTACAACACTACAACCAGTTCAAAATATCTCAGTCAACCAAAAACTCCACAATTTTTTCTATCAGTACTAGCAGGTACAACAGTATGCACCATGTGTGGTTCTTGGGGATTTTTTAATTGGAAAGGGATTATGCCAAACTTACAAATTATAGCAATCAAGTTCTGATATTTTACTGCTTACATTAAAATATTCCTTCCTCTTAAGAAAAGTAACAAAATTGTAGACATGTTAATTAGGCCTGCTTTCACATGCAGTCAGAAATTGTAATATTAGGCGCTCCAGACAGATGTAATTTTATTTTGTGTCAGATTCAGAGAAGTAGCAATCTGTTTAAGCCTTTCACCAAAACAAAAAGCTAGACAAGATTTCCTCTTTTAGAATAACAAAACAAAGGGAGGAGAGAAAAGAGAGAAGGCCTATGATTGTACTTCGTAAGGTTAAATTGTTCTTTTGCTACATGGAGCTATAAGTTTCTTGATGTTGATATAGAGAGCATAGACAATACTTGTCACCAGATATGAACATAATCTAGAAGTATTTAGTTATGGATCATCCTTACAGCATTTACATGTAAAGGTAAACTACCTGACAACTCCTAACATGGAATTGGATTACAAAATCAACACTATCACCTGCAACAGGCACTGGACAGGAGGCACAGGCCTCACCATCCATGCATACAGTAAATTTCCCACAACTTCCACCTTTAAAAAGTCCTTGATACGGGTTGATTGTCATAACTAGCTAAACAACACCAAAAAAATCTTATTCATATAAAAGCAACAGTCTGATACTAGTATCAGTTGTAGACTGCTTCATGTCCATTTAGGTGTATTAATATGCTTGGGCTTTCATTTAATCATCCAAATAGACGCTGTTGCCATACTCGAACACTTGCAGTTATGGTGTGTCTAAAAAAGCAATAAGCTAACACAGTCACACATGCTTTGCTGAACACCACTAAGTAGTTACCCATTGTCCATTAAATGGCCATCATCCAGGTCTCAAGGAAATTTATCAGTACAAACCCACTGTTCATGTTGGAGCTGGCACAGAGACTGAATATTTAGGCTGAATAAAGAGCAGCACATGTAGCAGCCCAGTTTTCCATATTCCTCATTACTTACCTCTCCATCTACAGCATAAACAGATAACCATTCCACATTCTTTTAAGTCCATGAGGCATCATGGAAGCTTCACTTTACAGTAAAGTGAGTCAAGTGAAAACACAAACCACTCCAAAGAGGTAGAAACAGAGCTACCCTGAATATTTCTCATGCATGCAACTTACCAACAAAGTGTCACACCAGTCCTCAGTCCAGGTTCGAACTCTGCTCCAGCCAGCATTAAGGACGCACAGCTTCTCCTCCAGGACAGTCTCACTCCCTTCCACCAGAGACTGGAGTGCAGTGCAACTTTCTGTGATGCTCTTCAGATCAGCCTTCCTCCTCTCCAGCTCTCTCAGCACATTCTGAAACAAGTTCAGCCATTAAAACTGTAATGGTCCCAAACAAAGGGGAGGCAGATTTTTACCTCCACAGGAAACAAATACATGGTAGATGATCTTCACTTGTGGAAAGAATTACACCAAGTGTAATTGCCTTCTGTTTACAGTCACTCTGTAGATGGTGATCTCATTTTTTAAGAGTGAGAGCACAATGCATGTAAGTGTCCTGAACAATTTAGGCACTCTTTTGGTTTGTTGTCTTAGATCATCTTCACCATTTCTTTTTATTATGTAGGTAAAGCAAATGCATCACACTACATTGCAGGTCCATTTTTAAAATCCTTTTTTCTGTATTGTGAAGCACAAAACACAAATTTCAAGAGACACTCAGGATTCCTCTGTATCTTTTCCAATTAAAGTACTTTTACAGCTGGCAACCATGAGAAACATGGTAGGCAAATGCTAAATATTTTTTTTGAGAACCATCACAACTCATTACAGCAGATGTTCAATTCAGTGCCTACATAATACAGACTCCCTATTGTTATATTATCTATATGCAGAAATGTTAATATATGTATCTTTAGCTCAACCCTTTTTTCCAAGTAATCTCTGCTTTTAAATAGTTTTTTAACCTAAAAAAACACACCTTTTTTGAAAATATGCATACTGACATGCAAATTAAGCACTATGTCATCTCTTGAATATCAGCACACAGTTTCCATGTGGAAAACAGACCTCTTGCCATACAAGATTACCAATTATTATTGATGATACCTGCCTACTTAGAAAGTTCTTTGATGTCAGTGTACGGTGTGGTGAAGAATGCACTTAATCATAGCCAGTGTCTGGAGCTCCTTGAACATACTATCTGTGAAGCAAGTAACTTATTATTTTACCATGGCTTATTATTATAGAAACAGAAACAAATCCTCAAGTTACTACATTTTAAAATTGCCTCTAGAAAACTCGAAAACAGAAAGGATAACTTTGTATGCAACATATAGGACTTGTCCTCCTGATGGTGCAGCATAAGAGTCATTATTTACATGGCTTACAAATATATGGCATACTTCCAATAAGGATTCAAAACTTTGTTTGGAGACAAATCTTGGGGATACTGCCACAGCAAAACCCTAACACTAATAATTGCTAATACTGATTGAAATGCCTGAGAACAGGTTACATTAGACGAGTTTGAGTTTGCTGAGCTTTCAAGATTTAAGACTGTGGACAGACCCATTCCAGAAGTAAAAAGTGACAGAAAACAAAAATTGGAAATTTCATTACTGCTGAACTGTATCAACTGACACTTACTGCTAACTCCTAGTAATATCCAAATTTCTACAGTGTGAGAAAATATAATTACTCTGAAGAAACTAACACATTTGCCAGTTGCAATTAAAAGTTCAATTTGTAAGTGGAAAAAAAAAAGGAATTATAGAATCCTCTTATTTTGCAAAGTCACAATTTTGAAGACAAATCTGTTTCAATGAAAAGTTACAAACTCGATTTTTTATTGAATGCACTTTTCATTCAATGCACTTTCAGTTTGTTCTACTAGTAAAATATTTGATCCAGTCCACAATTATATTTGCTTATAATCTTAAAATTATTATAATAGTGAAATGTGTAAGAGATACAGTAACTCTTAAATACCTATTAGTACAAAACATGTAGTAATATCTTAAATATTTCACTGGCATTTAAGGTTGATGCCAAATGCCTGAGAGGAAACAGATCAGACTGAGTAAGGTAGTGAAGAGGAACTATTGACTCTGCTGAAATTTCGGAATGTGGGAGATTTAGGAACAAGTTACAGGGATTTAAATTCACAGCCATTTGTACGTAGTATTGCTATAATATCAGAATTTTTTTCTACCAATATTTAGTAAGCATGCTTACTTTGGCCCAGGCAATTTCTGAATCTAGATCAGAAAGCAAGCTCTCTGAAGTGGACTTCTGCACAAGGTCAGCTTCAGTGGTAGCCAGCCACTCTGACAGAGAGGCAGACTCCTTCCTCATTTTGCGTGCCAGCTGGGTTGCTCTTTCAAGGTCTTGTTTTCCTTCTGTCACCTACCAAAAAAAAAAAAAATTAGGAAGAAAGAAAACAAAATTAGTTTCAAAAAATAGCAAATGCAAAAGTACTAACCAGCTAAAATATCCACCTAAATATATAAAATCCTTGCACCTTAAAATTGTCTTGCTTTAAGTAAGGACCCTAAAACGATAGTTCATAAGCATCTGTATCTTACTATACAACAGAGAATATATATAAATAATTTTATCTCCTTTAGGAGTATCTCAATTTAAAGAAACCTCCTTACCAATTTATTTATAGCTAGAAATCACCAAACTGATGTTTATCACTTTATTTTGATCCTTTAGCTGAAACTCAAAGGACTGCAGAATCTAGTCACTCACATAGGTAAAATTCAATTCCTCCTAGTAATTTGTAAGGCCTGCTAGCAGAAAGCTGTAAAGAAAAATTTCACTGAAAATCTAGTCTGCCCTTAAAAACATATCAGTAAAATTAGCATTAAATTTGATGTTTGTTGTAGTAAAATAATTTGTATTCACACCAGTTGCACAATTAGTCTGGTCAGATTTTAACACAGATTTGAGAAGAACTCCAAGAATCATAGTCAGAATCAATTGACATTTCAAAAAATTGTGCTCTTCTCTCTGCTCAGAGAGAAAAATCATAACATTATACTGCAAGCAACTCTGCCTTTCTACCTTTTCCTAATCTCTTTCCTACATGCCTTCCAGAATCCACAGCTTCCTGGATATTCTCAAATTCACAATTGCAAAACTCCAAGATATTCCAACACTGTAATCTGACCCTTTACCTCCAGCTTAATTCATTAAGCACTGAACAGACATAAATCCACTTGGGATTCCATCTTATCACCCAGGTAGAGAGTCCTACCTGCCCAGTAAGGGTTTAACCATTTTTAAACACTTCTCTTGGATCAGTAAATATTCAACTAATAAGAAAATTATGCAATATTTAATGAAGTTCATGGGAAATAGAGGTTTGCCTGCATTTTCTACTTCACACTGAGAGCAACCATTTAGATGGACTACAATTCAAAACCATCATGACACCCAAAAAACCTCAGACTGACTTACATTTCTCGCATAACAATTTGACCACAAATTATCTGAAAGGACTTTAATGTATGGTAGGTCAGCTTTGCCAGGGCAATCAAAACTCTGTGAAACTTCCTTTCTTCAAGGCTACCTCTCCTCCAGGGAGGTATGTGTAATATCTAATCTTTTAACTGATTGCTCCTGGATGCAGCAACTAGCCTACATACTATCAGATTTAGAGTCAAATTAACAACACTATCTAACAGCAAGGAAGAGAAATTACATGCAGATAAATATTCATACATTTATTTATCTTTCTTACCTGTGCCCCCAAGTCATTGTAAAGAAATTTCAGTGCTGTCAGTTGTTCATCCATCCCTTTAGGATTATCCGTCTGTTGTTTCTGTACAATTTGCCTTCCTGTCTTGATGACAGTTTCAACTTCCAATTTCACCTCACTGAGGGTCTTATAGAGTTTCTAAAATCACAAATGTATATATTGGTGATCAATTTGTAATGCAGGTTTTCTGACTCTGCTTCCTTTGAGGACCTTAACTTCAAATTGCACTTAAATTCTGATTTATGAATTAATAGCAATATCTGACAAGAAAATTCCAAACTCCTCATGATATTTTATTCTGATGAATACTCTGAGAATATTTTATTCTAGTTTTTATTTTCTTATTTTTATTATCTTATTAATAAGATGAATAATTTAACAACATTTACTCCAAGGCTAATATTGTGATCTGTACTTCATCTTAGTATTCATTTTGCTCAAATTATAATGACTTTGATGCTTCTCCAGAACATAAGGATGAACCAGGAAAGGGAGTTTATAAAAACTCAGCTGTTCCACTATATCGATGATTGACAGCCCACTGCTTTTATGTCCTACAAGAACATGAAGTTTTTAGTTATCAAGTGTTCTGCTAGCACTTTCCAATGAGCTGCAATAGTTCCAGCTAAAAGTTCTAGTAGAAGATAACTTCAAGCAAAATTTCCTCAGAAGAGAGTTTAAGCAACAAGAACTACAAGAAAAAGAAGCACCCCCAAGCACGAGTCATGAACATTGCATACATACCATGCACTTCTCCAAGTGAGTTTGGATTACATCTGGGTCAGTATCCTTCACATCCAAGACATGAAGTTCTGCTTTTACACCATCCAACACCCGCTTGCAATCTAACATGCGCTGCTCAAAATTGGCTGGTTTCTGGAAAAGCTGATACTTTGTACATACTTCACGGAGCTTTCTCTGTTTTAATGAATATTACGTTGAAAGATTGTTTTGAATTAGTACCTGCACTTCAAAAAATAACCTTTAAAGCATGTCACACCACAGATTATAACCCTTCATGCCACCACAAATCAATACATACAGAATTTTGGCTTGGCACATAATGGTGCCATCACCTGTTCCTAATCTCTACCTGAGGAGCAAGAGAGATGTCACTCTGTATCATATGCTCTGAAAATACCCATTCTACTCAAATACAGAGACTTGCTGACTTTAAGCATTTATCCCATGACACTTGGAAAATTTAAGCTTCCTTCTTCAATTCACCTAGGGTTGTTTGTTTCCTTATGTAAGCACATAAAAGCATATACTATTTTCTTCTTAAGTTCCTCTGACTGCACAAACAATTTACAGGCTGACACAGCAGGGTGTAAGGGTGACTCTCATGTCTTTACCTGCAAAGCATCCAGCTGAGTTCCACCACGGGGAGACCTGCATTCAGGAGAAGCAGGAGGGAAAGAGCGAGCACTTTTCTTCAGCTCCTCTAAGGTGGATTCATGAGCTGCAATCTCAGCTTGAATTTTCTGCCATATCACAGAAGCAGGAAAAAAATGCATCACAAAATTGCTTGCAGAAGAGAGGAAGGGGAACTTTCTTACCACTCATCAGAAGTAAATCTACCCTGTAAAACTTAAACACCACCAGGTTTATTTTAAATATTCCGCCCTTGGTGACAACCTGCTAAATTGAAAGCTGCTGTTATTCAATACAACCTTCTTAAAAAAAATAAAACTCTCCAGATTACAAAAGATAACACCTAGTGCATCAGCACAGGACTGAAATTTATTACTAAGTCTAGACTGAGCATTATCATCAAATATTTCCAAAAGTTTTGTAGTGAAGGGCTATACAGAAATACCTGGGCCTCCTGGGGCATCTGAAAGGCATCTATCCTGTCAGTCAGGTAAGATGTCAGCTGTCTATCCAGATCTCCTAAACTTTCCTGCAAGACCTGCAGCATGTGGTCGGTTTCTCGCATGGTCTGAAGCTGTTGCTCCAAGGTGATCTGTCGGCTCACCGCCTGAGCAGGACAGAAAAGTAAGACAAGATGCAGCAATAATTCAATATAAATTGTAGTAGAATTCCTCAAAACAAGGTAGGAGAGACCAAAAGGATTCTACACCTGGAGGACTGGCTAAAAAGAATCCCAGAAAGCAGCAATTTTTTAAACTTGCTGTGGTTTCTAAAACAATAACTGACAAGCAGTGCAACAGAAGGAAAGTTCTGCTGCAGATGCATATGAGATAGTAAAAACACACCTCTCCTACTACCTCGAGAAGTTTTTGAAACTGGTGTGGTTTTAACAGAGTACTACTATACAATGGGAAACAGGAACTTCACAACAGACCACAGATCAATGTTGTTTGTTATATTAATATTCACATTTCCTTTCAAAATAATAAACTCACTCAGTTATACTGTCAAAACAGAAGTTCACAGTTTTTTCCCTTTATTGTCACTTCCTTTAACAGCATCTGAAATGCCACTACCTGCACAGGAACACAAATTCCCCACTATCAGCACATGCATGCACAGACCAGTGCACACACAGATGTACACACACATATGAAGAGCTGTCAAAAGCCCATGGTGCCAGTGCTGCAGCAGTCAATGCCAGCACATAGCCCCCAGCTGAGGGCACTGCATTCATGCTGCTCATTGTAATGAGGATTAACTGAAACTCCCTCTACAATTACACTTTTTCATCAGTGACAGAAAACAACTCCCATCCTACAATTTGGCAGGGGCTTGTATTACCAGGATACAGAACACAAATTACAACTCTGTGCTACCTGAAATACACCTAGTCTTCATCTACTTATTAAATCTATAAAAGACTAGACTGAAGTAGGAGAAGAGGAAGAGGACAGCCTAATAAGATGAGTAATAAGAATGTTTTCCTTCTGTTTTTTTTCACCATTACTTCTTCCTAGCTATTTCTAAGAATGAAAATGTCACTTACACTCCTCATTCTTTTAGTTTGTGAGAAAATGACCAGAATTTATGGCAGTAGCAAAGCAATATTAAGCTGTTAGTATTGTTAATATTGAGCTGTTCTTTAATTTTGGAATTACCTTTTTTGTCAAAATTATCTAAAAAATACCAGGGCATGCCTGCAGTGCTAGCTTGCAAAAAAAACTTCACTCATGTAATGAAAAATAGAAAAGCATCTTGCTCTTTGGACATTTTTACAAATTGAAAACAGCTGACACCACTGATGCTATTTATTCTTTTTCTGTATTGCAGTCCGGTATCTTTAAATTCAGCTAACAAGAATCATTTCAGACTTGAGCTTCACCCCTCACCCCAAGTTCTTACCAAGTGACTCAATTCTTCATAGCGGGCATTGAAAGCTTCCAATTTTTCACTGATGATGTCATCAAGAATCCCTCCATCAATCAACGTCTGCCCAAGTTCCCGAATCTGGGTTCGATTATCAGCTGGGTGACGCAAGACCGATTCCAGGGACTAATTAGAAAAAGTTTTAAAGGTCAAGACACTGAATATTGCTGTATTTTCAGAGCTGGAAATCTGGTTGTATACACAAGTTTAACACTTCAACTGTCTTGAGAGTGCTCTAAAAGCATAAATCAGTTATGGCTTAATTCATAATGGCACATAGCATTACGGCACAGAGGTGATTTTACTTTAGGTAATCAAACTTCACAACACTTTTTGCCTACTCTCATAATTTCATACTACTATAGCCCTGGAAGAAATTAACCAATTTACATAGGTCAGGAGAGAGCATACAGTTTTATCACAGTACCAAGTATGGCACTATCACCTCCAGTAAAAGTCCACTTTTGGTGGAGGATCTTACAAATATCCATTTTCAATTCAGAGTTATATGTTCATTTAATGTGAAGAATCTGAATATTCAGCACATTTCAGTATGCTACTAAAGTGCAGAAATCTTTTTTTTTTAAACAGAGCTATCTGAAAAATTACTCATCTGATGTAATCATTATAATACCTCAAGAGCATCATTGACAGCATCCAATTTATCAGGCAGATTTCCTGTCATTTGCACTCTTTCTTCCAGATTGTTTAGCCAAGCTGTTTCTAAATCAAGATACTGAAGTAGCTCAATCCAACAGGACCACACTTCCTAGGAGCAACAGAAAAGAAAAAGATTAGCCTAGAATGCCAGGCATAGTTTATATATCCTATGAACAACTTAAAGATATGAGTATGAGAAATCACCTAAAAAAGACAAGTAGAAAATATTAAGAAATATGTCACAGTACAGAATGTTCTAGATAAAACAACATGCAGCTCTATCAGGAAGATACAGAGAAATGAGCATAGCAGTCTCTAAACTGTGTTAAAACTATCACTGACATAAAGGTTCATATAACTATGTAAGAATGTAACAAAATGCATTGGATCCTTTTTGAAAGACAGGACATACACACTCTACCCCAGATCATAATCTTTTGTTTGTTTTAATTATTACTGTATTTCAACCTTTCATTTTTGTTTAATTCCTTTTTGCTGTTTTGGAAGACAGATCAGTAACAGGTCTGTGAGACAAGTTTATTTATTTGCAAAAGCATCGAATACAATTACAAAAAAAAAAGCTCGATAGTGTCTCATGGATTCCAAATACATCCTTTCAAGAGAAAGTAATCTTGGAAAGGAGTAAAATGCATTTATGTTGAAGCTAATGTATTCAGATATTTTCAATGTCCTTCTCCACTCCCCTCTTGTGCTACCTGCCTTCATTTTACAAAATCACAGACTCACTTAGGTTGGAAAAGATCTGAGAGATCATCCAGTCCAATCTGTGACCAAACACCACTTTTTCAACAAGACCATGGAACTAAATGCTACATCCACTCTTGCCTTAAACACCTTCAGGGACAATGACTCCACCACCTCTCTAAGCAGCCCATTCCAATGTTTAATCATTCTTTCTGTGAAGAAATTCTTCCCAATACCAACATAAATCTCCTCTGGACCAGCTTGAAGCCATTTCCTCTCATCCTTTCACTGGCCTCAGAGAAGATTTCAAACCCCACCTGGCTACACTCTCCTTTCAAGGAGTTGTAGTGAGCAATACGATCACTCCTCAACCTCCTTTTCTCCACACTAAAAACTCTCAGCTCCCTCAGGAGCTCCTCATAGCACTTGAGCTCCAAACCTCCCAACCAGCTTTGCTGCCCTTCTCAGCAGCCCAATATCCTCCTTTTAGTGAGAGACCCATAACTGGACAACACACTCAAGGTGTGCCCCACCAGCACCAAGTATATGCAGAGGGACAATCACTTCCCCAGCCCTGATGGCCACACTATTTCTAACAATGGCCAAGATGCCATTCTGAGCCATCAGGACATGCTGCTGGCTCACATTCCATGAGTGTCTATCAGCACCCTTGGGTCCTTTTTTCATTGGACATCTTCCAGCCTCTCTTTCCCCAGGCTAGAATGGGAAGGCTGTAGCACTGCATGGGGTTGTTGGGACGCAAGCACAGCAGCTGGTACTTGGTCTTGTTGAACCTCACACCTTTGGCTTCAGCCCACCAAATCAGCCTGTCCAGACTCATTCCTTCCTTCCTACCCTCCAGCAGATCAATACTCCCACCCAACTTGGTGTCATCCACAAATTTACTAAGGGTAGACTTGATATCCTCATCCAGAACATCAATAAAGGAATTGAACAGTTATTTATAAGCAGAGAGCTATGATTCTTGCCTCCAAAGTGTGACATTTCCCTCGGATCCGATTGCACAGTAGCTGGTAGTTCTCCAGCACAACATTCAACTCAGTCACCAGGTCCTGACCACTGGACGGCACTTTGGTGGCCAACATCTTGATGTTGTCCTTGAGAATCTTCACTCTCACCTCCTTCTGCAACACATCCTCCTTTGCTCTCTGTCAAAAAAACATATTACACTATCAACCTTCAATTGCCTTACAACTCAGCTATTCACCACTCAAATCAATCATAAGCAGTTTCACATTGGAGGTCTTGCTGCCAATGTATTTCTTGGGCCTGAACACAACAAAATACAGCACTAACTTGAATGGAATTAAGGTCATATTAGAAAGTGGTGAAAGATCCTGCTTTATTAAGCATACAGATATATTTACTGTTCATGGTTTGTTCATTTAAAAAAAACTCATTACTCAAAGCAAAAAAAAAAAAAATTAAGTACAGTGCTATTTCTATGCTATCATGCAAATACAAAAAAACCAAATTAACCAGAAAAAAATAGACATTTGCTAAAAACAAGTATATCAGGAAGAAAAAGGTAGGGTGACTTTACAGAAATGATGCATCTTAGAGCTCAGTACCTATCTCCAAAAGTCATCCAGGAAAGATGATATAATCACCCAGGACATGTGCAATTACAAAGCTGGAACCTCCCTCACAGCTGTTGGGTGTGCTCGAGAAACACACAAAAAGGACAGCTAGAATTCCTTCAACCTCACTGCACTCAGAGGAGCCTGGCAGCACATATACAGGGTAAGTACAGTACAACCCCCAACACACAGGTCTGGAGAAACTGTATTATCACTTGTCAAATTGTGCCTTAGCCAGAGGATGGAGGATAGCTGGAAGACAGATCAGGCAGACCAGTCTGAGTCCCCCTGCTGAGATAAATAAAAGGCTTCAGAAGTGAGACTGTTCCATATCTTTCTTTTCAGGTTTCAAGAACAATTTTATGAAATTGAAATATCTCTGATAAATAAGGCATTGCACTATATAGTAGAATTTAGCACAATTTTTGTATATATATTTCAAGTTGTCTTCTAGATGTAAGGCAATAAAATTCAGTTAATAGAAAGGCAAAGAATAGAAAATTTTGGAAATATATTTTATGTCAGGATTTTCAAAAACCACACAACTTTATCTTAAACTTATTCCTCCTTAAACCTATTCCTCCTGTCAGCAGGAGTTCCAATCTGTTCAAATGACAGCATATGCAAAAATGAGCCAAATACAGAGCGTGCTTTTTCCCAGTCCTAAAAGTAGTCCCAGGATAATGCTGTTACTGCAAATGAAAGGGAATTTTAAGTGTTACAATAAGCTTACAGGCTCACTGACACAACTGTCATAATATACATAATATAATCTGGATTTGACAAAGGTAAATGTGCTAAAAGTCTCACAGATTTGCCAATGAAAAGAAGGTTCTTTCTTTCCTTGGCTGGTGTTCAAGCCAGCTGTCAGACTATGTGATCTCAAGTGGCTTCAAAGGACATGAATATATTAAAACTCTTGTTAAGGGGTGCTTCAAAAAGGACAATTCAAAACTTCAAATGGCTCTGTTAAAGCACTTGTAAGGGAGAATTTTTTTTTTTACTTGTCCATCAAGTAACAGTATAGTGGATACTCATTTAAAAAGTGTACACAAATAAAAACATTTTTGAAGATATGATTGAACTCTCAGATTAAAAAGCAGGGAATTATTTATTCTGTACATGTATCCAATAAAATTTTATGTTCAACTGACAATATTATAATGAGACAAAAATTTCTCCTTCCTCTTCATTTATTTGGCCGCAAGACCCAAAAATAGAAAAGTAGGGACCAATATCACTCACTGATCCTTGTGGATCTCTTCCACCTCACGATTTAAAAAATAAAAATAAAAAAAAAAATCACTTTTTGCAACAGATGATGAACACATGATAGCCTTACAACACACCCATTTTAAAGTTATTTTCTAAATGTAGAGTTAGAATATTTAGGGGTCAAGAAACTGAGGTCCAAGTGATAGAAGACAATTTTCACAACCAGTAATTTAAATAGAAATAAAAGATGACACTATACCTTTCTCAAGTTTTGTCTCCTGCAAAATTTTCCCATATTCCTAATGTTTAATATGCTATATATAAAAAGCCTGACTCAACAGCTGAGCAAGCTGTTATTTATTATGAACTCCCTAGCCCTCATGGCCAAAAAGAACATCTGCTTTTATAGTTTATGCTTTAAAAATCAAAAATTCCACAAAGCAAAGATGAAAAATAGCACTAATCTTGTCGTGACCTGAGCTCCTTTCCACAAATATAATTCCATAAAAGGTCAACCCCCAAAGCTTTAGGGTTCTCTTTCTCTTAATCAGGCCTCTACAATAAGCTGGCATTGCTGACCTTCATTTCCTCTACTGCATTCTCTAGCTCTTCAGGAGACTTGTATTCAAAATCTTTCTCCAAATATTCTTCTTCAGCTTGGGTCATCCATTCTTGCATCTCTGCCAAATCCTTCTTCAGATTTACAGCTTTTTCCTGACTTTCAGACAGGCGATTTTTCTGACTAATGATCTAGAATCCAAGGTGGAAAAAGAAACAGCAGCTTTGTTACTTAAATGTCCTTGTACATGTGAAAAACCACAAGTCTTTGCTAAAATATTTTACTACCAAAACGTTTTCAGACCTTTTTAATTAATGGAGCACTTTTCCATGCACACATAAACTTATCAACCCTTTTTAGCAGATAAACAAAATCTAAAAGTGAGGGAAGGAGAAATATGACCTTTTTGTCCCCCCTTCATTGAACATAAACTGGTAACAATCCCTGAAAAAAGTCAGACAGAATAAATTCCTCTTCTGATTACAAGTATCATATAGTTAGATATATCATTATACTGAGCAATAAAACACTCTTCAGGCCTGACTTCTTTCCACAACCCAGATATTCTGCTCTATATCAACAGCAAGGCTCTCCAATACAGATTTTCATCAGCAATTGCAACAAAATAAATATGTTTCTACAGATAGCAGAAAGTTTCTACCCAAAAGGAACAACCAAATGGACTCTGTGGTAGTCTATTTATGGCCTTTTATTTTTCAAAGCTGCTTGGAAACCAATAAAAATTATACAGGGACACCATAATATTCCAGTCTTCAGAAACAACAGAAAAAGTTCATATCTTCCTCCCACATTCTCCAGAAAGAGCAGCATAAAGCCAAGTGAACAGATTAATTTTTAATTACAAACAATTGTAGAGTTGATTTTGCTCCTTCCAGTCAGGTACCAAAAAACATGTTTGGCTTCAGCCACTTTGACAGTGAAACAAGTAAAACGTTCTCAACCCACTGTTTCACTGCTTCACCTCCTCAGAATCCTTGCAATGCCACACAACCAGACAGCTGCAGCAACAAGCAACCAAGCAACATGTGGAAAACTCACCTGTTTGCTCAGCTTCTCCCACTGAGTCTGACAGTCTACTAGCCTAGACTTTGTCCAAGTATTTATGCTCGCAATAGGCTGAGCTCTTAAAGCAGCCTCTACTTCTTTCATCTCCTTTAGTGATGGTTCAATTGTCTCCATTTCATTGATAAATACCTCAACACACATAAGAGAAAATGAATGTTATTCTTCAGCAAGATATTACATTAATTTATAACAGCATCAATAATTTTGCAGCTTTTAATTATTCCAGAAGAAGTTTTTGGAGCAGATCAATACTGTGATCAGATCAATACCAGACTGCTTAAAATAATCCTTCAGTGATTCAAAATATCAGAACTATGCAACTAAAGGACAAAGTACAGCTTGCCATACAGAGCATAAACATTTTCATATGCCAAATGTCAACATCAAAACAACACAAGTTTGAAGATATTCTGCTATTTCTGTATTTCTGGTGTTCCTCAAATTATATTCTTCTCCTGGAAACAAGCATTTGAAGAGACACTGTAATTACTTACTATAAGACAAAATTCTACATAAATGTGATCATTATGTGACACTGACTAGCCAGGAACCTTCCTTGCAAAATTCTAAATTCCAGGACTTTCATCAGTTATTTGCTTCTTACTTTTACTATCCTTGGAAATTGAATGCAGAAGGCACTTTTTACCCATAGATTCAATTCCATAATGACAAAAAATTGGGAAAAACATATAAACCTTTTATAGAGGAAATAATGTCAACTTGTACATATGTATTTATAACTACAGTGAAGACCTCTGAAAAGCACAAAATATTATAGCTGCAAAAAAACCAACTCAAACGTGCCCTAAAGAAAGATAAAACAATTTTCTGGTGGGCTTAACATGCTATGAACAGTACTTAATAAAGCAAGCAAAAAAATAAAGAAAAGATGCTACTTGTTTTTTCAAAAGACTCCTTGTAAGAGCAAAACTCACTGTGCACTGGTCAAGTTGCCTTTGAAGTCCTTCAGTATCCCCTTGAACAGCCTTTTCTGTCATTAAGTAGTCTTTCACACCATCCATCCACTTCTGAACAACTTTAGAGTCAGTCTAAATCAAATATAGTAAGGAAGAGTTGATACACTGCTGTGAGGAAGAATGTATGGCTGTTGCATTTCAATTTCTAGCAGCTTGCCAAGAGTGCTCTACAAGCTGCTGGCATAGTCTTAGTTTGAATCAGACCAACTTCTGTTTAATTTTTGGGTTTGTTTTGTTGGGCTTTTTGGAGGGAAGAGTGGCATCCCAAATGTCTCTTTTCTCAAATTCATATGAATATTAAATTCACAATAGTGATATTCGTCCACCCACCAGAGCATGGTTTAAGTGACACTGAACTGTTCCAGGCTATCTATCACACCAAAGCACAGGATCAGGTAAGGAGGAGAGCATGGCTTCAAGAATTGTGTTGCTACTTTTTACATGAAGGACCTGGCTGAAGGCTGGAAATGTGCCTAAAAAGTATGATAAAAAAAATGCATGACTGTTTCCACACTTGTTTGAAAACTGCACTCCAAAGCAAAAGAGAGTGAGCTATAAGAATATATATGTGGAAAAGAGGAGTGGATAATGCTAAATGTACTTTTCAGGTAGAAATCATGCTGGGAAAGCCATTTGTATAGGCAAGACACACAAAAAAGGAAAAAAACACAGACGATCAGACTAACCACTAAAATTTGCAAAAAAAGCAGCCTAGCTGTTTGAGGCCGACAGTACAGTACTGTACTCACTAGAGCAACTCTTGGGAAAAAAGTAAGCACACACCCCATTTCAGAATTATGTGATCTAACAATTGGCAGTTGCCTTACACCCTGCAATGAGGTAGGAAGGGGAGGAGGGAGGGAAGGAGACAGAAACACTGCCATCTCCTTCCCATGTATGTGGAAAGGATGTGGATGCTCCAAATCATCCTTACCAAGAAAAAAAACACAGAGCACAAAGAGGGATTTTTCTTCCTCTGGTTCAACCAACTTATGTGATTGGCATTTTTTATTAATATAGCTGGACTTCTTATACTCAACATTTTTGGACTATTTGGTTGGAGTTTTTAATGTCATCTATCCTGACACAGTCATCATCATAGAACAGCTCATCAGCTTCACCTTCTACTCTGCATGTCACAGGAGGAAAGCATACACTTAATTTTTTTTAAAACCTTACACTAATAGTTTTTTAAAGATCCATATGTTACACACTGTTTCTCAAAAAATGTCTGCATTAATGAAAACCCATTAGACTAAGTTCATGTTTGTTTTTAGATCAATGCTACTACCATTAGACATCAAAGTCATGACATTTTCTTCATTCCTTTTCCATTTTGGGGGAATTTCCTGCAGATTATAAGCCTGAAAATAATTTTCTAAAAAACTGACTCTAGGATGCTTACTAGTGGACCATAGTTTAATATAAAAAAAATGTATTTATAAAGGCTGCCTTTTGACAAAGCACTTTACCATTTAGCTTTCTTACAATAAGCTATTTACATAAGTAGCTTAAGGGGGACCACTGAAAGTTAGACACATGTTTTAAAAACTTGCTGAATCACAAACCAAGCCTACAAAAGTTTAAGTAAATGCTCCTGCATTGCACAGGTAAATAATTATCAGTAGTCAAATAACCAGTGTAGGCTGTTGATGCACAAGAGTTCACAATTTTTAGACATGAACATCTTCATCCTAGAATGGTCTGGGTTGGAATGGACCTTAAAGATCATTTACCTCCAACTTGCCAGCCACAGACACAGTCATCTTCCACATAACCCCATCCAAATGGGCCTTGAACACTTCCATGAATGAAGCATCCATAGCTTCTCTGAACAACATGTTCCAGGGTCTCACTGCCCTCACAGTAAAGAATTTCTTCCTAAAATCATATCTAGACCTACCCTCTTTCAGTTAAGAGCCCATTATCCCTTGTCCTGTCCCTACAAGCCCATGCACAAAGTTCTTCAGCTCTCGTGAAGGTCTCCTTTAGTTTCTGGAATGCTGCTATAAGATCTTCCTTATAGAGCTTCACTTCTTCAGGATCAGTTTTTGACATTTATTACAGGCAGGAAAAAAGATCAAATCTGCTGAATCTTAACTTGTTCACTCCTAAAAAAAACCACATGATGTACAGCCGTGCAGCAGATTTAAAAGATCTGAGAGTGATACATAATCAAAGATGCAGCAAGCCATACATTACTAGAGATATGATAATAGAAGATTTAACATAATTTCTTCTAGGAAAAACAAAATGCAAAACTGATAAAATGATAAATGCAAAAATGATAAAATGAGCTTTGTCTACATCTCCCAGTAAAACATTACTCCCAGTTCATGTCACTAATGCATGCATTGTCAGCTTGGGGGAGCCTCTATCACAGCACAAGTAACAGAAGAACCACCTAAGCAGCAGGACTCAGGCAGATCTGCCACTGACATGCTCATCAGACTAACAAGGGCATCTTAGTAATCGTTCACCTGTTTGCTCACTGTTAAAATGAAAATACTTGCATTGTTTCTTTTCAAAAACATAAATGTGAGGAGTGCTGTTTTGATAAATGTCAATTTTTAAGGTGATTTAGGAAAAAAAAAAAAGGAACATTAAAAATAAATTAATCCTTGCATGTAGTTGAACATAAACCACATGTCCTCCAAGCACTGACATGCATTTTTTTTCTCCCCCACATAAATTTTTTCCCTTTAATAGCCAGGTGCTTCAACTCCTCTTTTAGCCAAGGAGAGACTGCTCAGCCATTCTCCAAACTAATCTTGTGTCTTGTTTGGTGTCTGCACCAGGACCATACACCAAGGCTGCCATACCAATCTTTCCTGCAGTACAAGTTACATCCTGGTGTACCCAGTGCTGTCCACAGCATTTTTATTCAACTTGTTCCAGACTCTGTCATTTTTATTTATACAGTATTAGACTATAAAAATCTCCATATAGATAAGTACCAAAGAAAAAATCAGGGAATATAACACAACTGTCCACCCACTGACAGTTTTACAAAATATTCAGAAAACACAGGAATTGTATACTTCAAAATACAGTTCATAAGACAACACAATGTAAGCCGCATATTTCAACCAATTGCATCAGTAGGTATTTCTTTCATTTTCAGTTACTTAATAATTACAATAATAGTATCATATTGATAAAGCAACTACTTAATCATTGCTTCCATTGTTTCTTCTGCTAGAATTTATTTTTTGGCTTCTCTAGTTCCTTTTAAGGTAACAGGAAAGTTTCTATAGTCTTGTTCAGGACAATTCTGTTCTCAGAACAGTGGGATTTTCTGTCTTGAAGGATTTCATAGGAATGTATATATATTTATAAAACAGGTAGGAGGGCTGAGTAACCTTAATTTTTTAACTATCCTTCTTGTCACTTCAGAGGCAATGGTTGGAACTGGAAAAGTCACTATACCCAAGCATTTTCCTTACTCCCTTTTCTAACTTCCCTGTATTAAATCATGACTATCCACCAAAACCCCACTTGAAGGAGGAGGTTTTCTGTAGCAGGCATGGAATTACACTTTAAGAGTAGTGAGCATCTGACACCAATCACACTGAAGATCATCAGCCCCTACTGGGATTAACAGCACAGCTGGCATATCCTTGACCCCAGCATAACCTTTACTTATGGAAGGGGAGGGACACTAATTTTAAGTGAAAAGCATTTCTGTTAGAAGTCAAAATAATATCCTGGGTACATTAGAATTCCACTTCTATGCTGCTACAAATATACTATATATGCTTTCAGCCTCTTCCAAACTAGTGGATTATCAACATTCCACTTCTCAATCAGTTTCATCTGGACTCCCACAGGAACACAGAGAAAGGTCTATAAAGCAACCGAGTTATGCAAGCCAAAAATAAAAAATCCTTTCACTTTACCTCAAATATTCTCAACTTGGGCACAATTTCCTCCAGTAGTTTAACATCTTTAGAAATCTTGAGCTTTAGCTTGTCCCAGCGTCCCTGCACATCCTTGAACTCTTGCATGTACGTGTTTTTTACTTCCAAAGATGCATGCTTCTCCAAAGCCTTTGTTTCTTCAGCAAGTTTATCTACTCTGGGCTTCTGGGCTTCCAGTGCCTCACAAATGGTCTATAACAAAGAAGAAAAAAGCCTCCTTCCAGTATTAGACATACAACAAGTACAAACTCACATACAAGTGCAAGTACATCAAAACCTTCATCATGCAGACGGTAAACTCGGTCAAGAGTGATACAATCCAGTTACAGTAGTTATTGAGGCAGAGACATCCAAAAAACCTTCTAAGCAGCAAAACCTTCAGCTGCTGTACTGGCGCAGCAACAGAGACGACAGAACGTGTAGCAAAGCTTGGCCTCATAGCTCAACATGGGCAGGTATCTATGCTTCTTGTATGCCACACAGTACTGGCACTCAATCAAAGTGTCTGTGCCACACTGTACTCCCAGGGCAAACTGCAATGCAGACAGAGCAGGACACCAGTATGTTCATTCCCCCACAAGTTTGTTTTTTAAATGCACATATAAACCAGCTGAGTGTGTTCTTCCAAGTTTTGTAAAGTTAAATATACTGTCTTAGTTGCAAAAAAAGCTCTAGATACTCAAGTTTTGAAAACTGCTTTCCCAGATGGAATTCAGGGAAGATATATTCTGAGTATATTCACTATGACATTGCTGATATAAAGAGTCACTTGATTTGAAAGAGCTGATTTACTAATACGAAAAATAACAGCCGAAGATATCAGCCAAAACATGGAAAATGCTGCCACTTCATTGAACTCATAATTTTGATTACTGTGCTTCAAATTTGCGTAAGAGAAATTCACAGTGAACACATGAAATTATTATTAATTTAATTTTCTAGTATATACACTTAATATATACAAGCAGGATATGTGCATACATATTTTGCTGTATTTTTACTGAGGAAGAGTTTTTTAAAACATTCATGTTCTCAAATCTACTTTACATTTATTTAGTTTCTTTCCCTGGAAAATTCCTCTAAGATGGGTAAAGTAGCAATGAGACTGAGAAGAGGAATGTATGTTTCAGTGCCTGCTATAGTGCAGAGAGTGCTGAACAATCCCAAGCTCCACAAGCAGCTACTCATAGGGAGGTTTGTTCTCCTCTCCTGTCACACTCTAACGATAAAGCACCTTCACTAGCATAGTATGTCCTTTCAGGGTAATTAGCCTCTGAAGAAAACTGGGCAGAGGCAGGAAAAGACAAGCCTCAAAAGGCTAAATGCCACTGCAATTCACGTAGTATATGGACCAGAAAATCTCTGCCAAGTTTAAAAACTACAGAAGCAACATTAAAGAGAAAATCTCCTGGTTAAAACAAACAAACAAACAAACCAAAGCACTAACACCTCTATTTACTGGACTTCCAAAAATCATTGCTCTCCTAAATAGAGAAAGATATAAAAACCTCTCTGCACCCAGCAACCAGAGCTCAAGAGCTCCTCCAGAGTCATCTGCAGCCTTAGTAGGCCACCACACAGGGGAAAACACATGCTTCTGAATATGGAGGATGGTGGAGCAGGCAGGGAAGTATTTATTTTTTCCAAACAAACAAACAAAAAAAAAAAAAAAGGGGGGGGGGGGGGGGGGGGAAATACTGGAGACACAGAATTCTCTCCCTGGAGAGAGGTCCATCCCTGCCTCAGTATCTGGTATTTTCCCTGGCTGAGCAGTCCAGCTCTCTCCTGGCACAGGCAGCAAGAGAAGCTGTGAATTCCTGAAGGCCCAGAGATACCAAGCCCTCACCTGGACACGTCCCTCAGCAGCCTGGTAACCCAGCAAGCCACCTCCAAAAGTGGGCTCCACACCCACGTCCCCAACACCCCTCTGAGCAGTGTTAGCTACCCCACTGAAAGCAAGGCAGGAGAACACAGGGTGACAGCAGTGGGGTAAGCTCCTTACTCAGTGCAATGGTGAGAGTTACCTTTGCCTGCTGCAGGGCGTTCTCCACCTTGCTGGGCTCGCTCAGGCCACTGGCAATGGAGAGCTGCTTGCCCTCCAGCTCGCTCAGTGCACCCTTCAGCTGCTGCAGAGACTCCACGTACTCCCGGCTCGGCTGCCTTTCTGTCTCTGCTACCATGTAAAGGAGGAAGGAAACAAAACACAGAGTAAGAATATGCACTTCAACCCAAATCTTAGGAGATGTGAACATAATCAACTTCCCAAGAACTGAAAAACTCTTCAACAGATACCAATGTTTTTCCTCTAAAAATATTAAATACATAACATACAAGTATATAGAATATAATAATAAATATACAATTACAACCTTCCAAAAATTTGACAAACTCAATCACATTTTCAGAAATTCTTTTTATACACTTAAGCACCTAAATCTGTTTGGATGGGTAGGGTGGAAGTATCGATAGTATTTAAATTATATTTTACTATACCAAGAATAATCCATAGTATTTAAAATATATAAACCACCCAAATTTAGTATTTTGCATTTTTAAGATTTAGACATATCTACTATTTATCTACAAAAACACATACACTGATATCTACTATGTATAGAAAGAATAGTATAGCAAATATAATAGCTATATATTTAAATTAAATATACACACTGTATATAGGAATTACATAAGCTAGTATTTATAAATATATATGTGTGTATATATAAATACATTAAACACATAATAGTGTGGCCTTATGTTTTGCTTGCTTTTTTACTTTTTTAAATATATTTACCCTTACAAATATATAAAAATAGCAGCTTTCAGTCTGTTGCCAGAACAGAGACACCATTTAGGAAGAGTTAAAAGGGAAGTATAGTTTGGATGGAGTATCTGCTTGCCATCTTCAACCACAACTCAAAATTTATTCAGTTCAGCCCTGTGTGGAATCCCAGGCACAAGGCAGCACCTCACTGGCATTCCAGAATGAAAACAGCCAATTGGAATAACTGCAGCTAACAGGATTTTGCCTGTAAATCCTGTACTGTAGTATGGCCCTGGATTCCTAAGCAATTTTGTTACTGCCCCACGTGAAAACTAATCTTAGCCTTGTTCTGACTCACCAGGTAGCTTTTCAACAGCTTACTGTCAGAACTGTCCTACCGTTTATAAAAATGAGTAAACATTTTTGAGAGAATCGGAGTTATCCAGCTCCTTTTTCTCAAAAAGCCAGATCAATTTAAAGAGGGGGAAAAATTAAGAAGAAGAACATAGGTGCACTGTAACTAAACTACAGAAAATCCTGAAGGAGAAGAAAATAGTTGAAGTAGTTTTCCAGCAGCAAAAATATTGAGTCAATTCCCATCTAAAAAATGCCCATGTATTGCCACTGAGTAGCTTTCCATGGGTGGAATTTTTGGAGGCTCAAAGAAGAGCCATAAGGAGGAGCTGACCTTCTGTCAGTCAAAGCCTGCCAAGTTCACAAATGCCCAAGTCATACCACCAGTTGTTTCCACCAGTTACGTAGCTCTGGAAGTTTTTACTTTGCAGCAATTCAAACTATGCTGTAAATAAACAGCTAAAACCCTGAACCAACATTTCCCTCTGTTCATCATCAATATAACTTCTCAGCAGGTTGTCTCATTCAAAAGACACACAAATACAAAGTTAATGTGTTAGAATATATACAGTGTTTCTACCAAGCAATAACTGGTTCAAGCAGACCGGTAACGCCTCAAGTGATGTGTGACAAAAAAAAAAAGAGTATTTTTGTCACATGATATACAGTTACCAAAACACCAATAAAATTACTCACAAGTACATGAACTCAAAACAGCTATAAAATAATAACTTGTCACAATAAGACTGAAAACATACCCTTGTAATTTTAACATAGCTGACAGATACTTCATTCATAGAAATTTCTGCATGGATATAATTCAAGTGTGCAGGCCTGGCGCAACATATTGTATAGATAGCCTAATAATTTAGTAATTGAGCCTATTTTTACTACACACAGAATAGTGTTAATGCCCTTCCATTTGGGGCTGTTAATAAAACATTTCCTCAAATTACTCTGAAACAAAAACTATGGAAAAAAAATCTTACAAGTCTGTGCTGTTGCTATTCAGCTGTAAAGTATTACCAGAACTACATATTTTATGCACTACATTTAAAATTCTTTAAAAACCAGCATGACTGGTTTGAATGCTCATAATGAAATTTTTAATGCAACAACAACCCAAGTAGAAACTGCCTGAAAAGCAAGCCAGATTCCAAATCACTTCAAAGATGAAATTTCCAAAAGGAATTATGTATGACTAATGTGCTCAAAGCTATGAAAAAGAATAAATTTCACATGCGCACTTTCCTTTTACAACATTCTTCTAATCTTCTACTTTTCATTTCTAGAATTTCATTATAGAATATATGTTTCTGTAAGTGTCAGAGAGAGACAGATTTCTGAGCTTTATTATCCACCTTCAATATGTCTTGCTAAGTAGTTAAATGAGGTTTCAGGGATGTTGCATCCTTGCATAATAGTGTTAAACACCATGGAATGATAGATTTGTGAATTTTGCACAGAACAGGACACATTCCTCCATGTAAATAAAATAATTTTGTCAGTTTGACACAAAGCCTAGAGCAAACACTACAGAAAGTCTACCAGAATTCAATGAGTTTTCCGTCAGCTCAAAACAAACAAAGCACAAGTAAGCAGGAGGTTTTATGCTAACATACATATTTTTGCTTATTTATTTACCTTTTCTCAGCTGTTGATGACATTCCTCTAGTTTCTGACAAGTCAATTTGAAATGATCAAGCAAACCACTCAAGTTCTCCTGAATGAAATTTGGAGGCATGGGCTGGGAGGTGAGTGTCTTGCAGGTGGCTTTCAGATGTTCCAACTGTGGACTCAGGCTTACAAGATGAGTTAACTCCTGCTGTAAAAGAAAAACCAAAACCAAAATTCACACTTGCCCTGTAAACGCAAAGATTTTAGTACACTTCTACAGTACAGCTCATCCACATTACTAGTGACAAAACTAAAGTACTTCCTGTGACGGAAATTCCAAAATCTTCCAGTCAAATCAGGTGCCCTGCATGTCTTAGAAACGGAGTTATATTATTGACTAGACCAAGCTCTACTGGCGCATCCTGTGCTTCTGACAGCTTCCAATCACAATTAATAACTTTGGCCAGACTTACCTGACATAACTCTTTCAGGACTGCTGAGGACTGGGATGCTGAAGAAGAGTAATTTTTAAGCCAGCCATCCTTCTCAATTAAAGTCTTCTCAAGCTCATTCATTTCCTTTAAATAAGCATTTATATCTTCCTGGTACTTTATCTTTCTAGCCACTTCTTCTAGATTTTGAACCACATCCTTCCACCCCGACAAAATTTTCTCCATGACGGATTTTATATCCACTGTAGGAAGTCCTTCTACAAAGATTATACAAATTATTATGTTAACTGCAACACATTTTCATTAACAGGCATTTAACCTTTCCTCTCTTCAAATACAAGTGTACTTTCACATTAATATACAAAACACTTTGATTCCAAGTCTAATACCAATAAATCTATACTTATTACTAGCACCATTTCAGCTTTATAATTCTAGTAAAATGCAGAGTGAGGTACTCTAATTTTGAGGAAAGACACAGAGAGGGGTTTTTTTTTGCTGAACCACTCCAGCACAAGTAGAGCCCAAAGCTCTGGTCAGGGCAGCCAGCCAGCTTTCACAAGAGCACTTGATGACCCTGCTCCACAGATGCCCTGTGCTCACACTCTGGCCACAGGCTTGGCACACCAACACCACAGCAGCTGCAGCCACAGGGCAGGAGCATGCACACAAAGACCAGTCACTGCCATTATGGCACAGCCTGTTCCTGCCCCAGGATAGACATGGATGTAGGCACAAATGTGCCAGTGCTGTGCATTATTCCACACAGGTGTAGCTGGGCCTCAGAAAAAGGCTGGGAGCCTGATCTGGACAGGACATCTATCAGACCCTAGCAAAACCAGGGGGTGTAGATTTGTTATTTTCTAGAGATCCAAACCTTTAAGATGACAATCAATTAGATAGGAAATTCTTGACCTTACTCTTTGCTGATACAAAGCAGCTTTTCAACTACACATTTCTTGTTATGGTTAACACATGCTGGTTTCATACCATGATCTATCACAGCTAAAAGGGTTTGTAGAATAAAGAGGAAAGGAGCATTAATTTCTGTTCACATTCGAAAACAAGGAACATCTAAAAATTTTTATAAACAAAGCTCCAGGTCAAATCAGTGGCTTTCAGCCATCAACTTCAAGGCAACAGCACCCACTGTAAAAAAAGCTTAAGTTGCAATAGGCAAGGAGGGGACAACTGGACATGCTTAGTAAATTGGGGCATACAAGCAAAAAAATGCGATTGCTGAGAAATCCAGTGGAATTCAGCATTTTCCAAAAGGGATGCTGGTCATTATTCAGGACAGTGATACCATCCTCTCTCCTGTCAGAATGCTACCAGTGATAACAACTTCACCAGAAGTCAAGTGAAGATCAAAAAGATTGCCTCTAGATGATATGAACATCTCTTTTATAGAGACATCATTCCACTGATGGTTTTTTTTCAATATGAAACAAGATTTTGGCAAGGCTTAAAGATTCACCTTTCATAGATGTCAATTTTAAGATCCCATGGATAAGGGTTTTAATTGGCAACAATTTTCCCAATCATATAGACTTCTCTCTTGCCTTTCAGCCATGGTTGTGACTGCATCATTAAAAACACAAACAGTTTTTACAAAAATAGATAAAACCATGAAAAAGAGATAGACACATACATATTAAGTTTAAATTTGGCTTCAAAATTTTTACTTCTTTACAGCAGTTGTTTTAAAACATTTAATTAAAATCAAACTACTTCCTTGAAAGCATGTTACTGAAATAGAAACAATTTATTAAAATATACCTTAAGACTACAAATGTACACATGCACACTAATGAATAATAATACTCTTGTTCTAAAAACTTTAATTAAAAAAAACACATAACTAACTAGTAACAGTAACAATGAAGAAAAGAAAAGGGAGGGAGAAGGAAGGAGATAATGTACTTTAATATTATTTCCCAGCAACTCAACTGATTAAATAACAAGAGAGAAAAACCTCCAAGTTGCTTACCCTTTCCCACTTGATCCAAAAGAATGTGTCCACTTCGTTTCAGTTCATCTAATTTCTGGCTTTTTTCAGCTCTTTCCTTTTCAATCACCTTCAAAGGGAATCCCAAAAGAATATAGTAGCAGCAAGGATTATTTTCCTTGACTTCTCTCTCTCACCCAGTAATATCTACTTTTCCACTCAGCCCAAAACATATCATTGTCTTAGATGCACCACCACCTGAGCTGCATGTTAGTTCTGCTTGTGCAGAAAACAAATGCAAAAGGAGTCACCTCTCAGAAGCAGCAGGCATGCAAGAGATGCACCAGGAATAAAATATTGTTTAACGGCTTGATGACCCCACAGTGTGAAGTAAGATATTGGGACAGCAGTTAAAACAAGTAATTTCTGATCAAAAATTCAGCTGTAATTCTCTAATGTGAGCCAGTGGAGAAAATACCTTCTCAATAGCCCCTTCATTTCTACAGTTTTTACTGTGGTTTCTAGTAGAAGGGACCAACAGACCCTAAATGTCCAAAAAGCAAGAACTATAGCACACCAGTAATAATCTCTAGTGCTTTGCTCTCACAAAGATTTGAAGAGGGAAATTCTCCATGACTACCAAGATTTTTAAAGGAAAAAGCTTCTCTCACAAGTTATACATACTGGGGAATATTCATTTGTGAGTCAATAGGTAGAATGCATCCACAGAGGAAAGATGAGTTCCCTGGCCAGAAAACCACAACTTCAGTATCCTCTGTGATTACAACAAAGTATCTCCAAACTAAAATCTTTTTGAACCTCATGTCAAAGGTCATCATTCTGGTTTAGGCTTCCTACAGTACATTCAGAAGAATGCACTTATTTGCACAGCTGGGAAGAACAAACTCTGTCCTAACCACTTACAGCCCAATCATTTAAAAACAGTACTGTTCATGGGAACCTGGTGTTCACCTCAGGACCTCTTTTTTAAAGAGCCATAAACATTTTTAAATATCCATAAATAAAACATTGGAATATTTGTTTTAGTTCTTATTTCCAACAGTACTGCCATTCCAAACATTCCTACTGGCACCATTTTCCACAAGAGCACTATGGAGGAGCCTCTTTATAGAGATTTTTAAGTATTGTTTTTGATTTCAAAAGCAGATTCAGGTCCTGCTAAAGCTCCAGTAAGTCTTCATTAACAAAGGATGCTCAAGAACCAGAAAAAGGCAAGAATACATTCCTGACAATGAATAGAAAATAAAATGGTTATTTCACAGCTCCCACAAGATTCTGTAAAGTTATCTCGTCTGTCTGGCAGGTCAGCAATACTGCACAAAAGCTGTAACAATCATATTTTCTCCAAAATTATTAGAGCAAACAATATGTCCAAGCATTATAACAACAAACCACTTTGGACCCTGGGTGATACAGTGTTTGAGGAGTGTCACAGCATGATTCAAGGGGTCTCTGAGCACCCCACTGGCCTATCTCTACCAAAACTATATAAGTGGCGCCAATCAAGGCCATTTCCAACTGTGAAACATTAAACCAAAATATGCTACTTAATGTAAAAGAGAATAAGCCTGAAGACAGACATTTTTCAGAACTCCAAGGGAGACATCAGTAATTTAAGTTTTTTAAATTTCTTGTGGATTATGCAACAACAACAGCAAAAAAAATGTGTGTCCAGCTGGTCAGAGATTTCCATGTATACTCAGTTCTGAAACTATGTAACTGAGGGACTTAATCCCCTCAAAGCATGCGGATCAGCTCACACCTCCAGCTGACAGCCAGCTTAGATACAAAGTAGAGTATTCACTGAAACATGCTTTATCTCCCCATTTTACCTTCAATTTTTCTTTCATGCTTGAAGTCTCTCTCATCTTCTTATATTCTTTGATGTCTGTGGCCTGAATGGCAGATTTTGATTTTGAAATCCAGTTCAAGAGCTCAGTACATTCAGCATCAAACCTAGTTTAAAAGGTCAGACAGTGGTTTGTTTTTTTGGTTTCAGTCACTCTGTCTTAAAAATCAAGTCTTAAAGTTCAGCACATTATTCAACCCCAAACCAGCAAGGCTTTACACAAAATTCATGCTCCTTATATTACTACCCACAGGAAGTAGAGACAGACTTTTAAAAGCCTACCATAATAAAAATTATCCCCACAGTATCAGCCTTCAGGAACAAATTGAGAATACATTTACATACATGCAATTTATTTTACACATTGTTTCACACAAATAACTATTTCTTTTAATATGTTACAAAACTGATCTCTCAATGCCAAGCATTTTGAAAGTAATAACTAGACCTCAGAAACAAAACAAATAAGAATTGCAGTTCTAAGTTTCAAAAGTCTGCAACGCTATTTTATCTGAAGGAAAAGCTAACAGTGGCAGTGACAGCTGACAAACATTTCTGCACACTTAGCTGACAAAATATTAACTTATAGCTTACTGGTTTTGTCTACAGTGTACACTATACTATAGTTGTCTATACTAACAACTTTCTTACCCCTATGACCTCTAAGCTACAAACTAAAACCACCAAAAAAACACTCCAATCAACTCTCAAATTAAGCAGTACTGTACAGAACTTGAGAGATGGACAGATACACTGTACAGACCACAAGTCAAGTTGTATTACAATTACATTACTTAACAGTGTGAATCCTAACACGGAATAACAGCACGGAATTGCAATATGTGCAATTGTCAATTAAAGTTTCCATAGGAAAGCTGGCAAAATTCCACTTTCTGGTCATTTGTTGTAAATGGAAACACACAAAAGCATCAGAAAGTTTATTACCTATTTTTACTACCCCTGTTTTTAATACAGTTTGAACTCAAGGAAAACAGATGACAGATAAATCACTTTTGTTTTCAAAATCTATAATAGTTTCTACAACTCCTGAGACATAGAAAGGACAGATGGCTGCTGACTACTTTACTGCCCTACTACTGGCACATCCAGATGCACACACTATCCCTACCAGACCTCAAAAAGTCTGACCAGAGTCCTCAAGAGGGTTTCGGCGGGTTCCTCACCCCTTCAAAACCTTCATTCCTCCCCCAGAAAGAAATGAATTAAAAAACTCTTCTTCATTGTGCAAATTCACAGCTACTCCCTAATCTTGAGGCAGTCTCTATTGTAGCTCTAAATGATCTGACAAAGATTTAAACCACTGATACTTCAAGGAAATACTCATTTCCTCAGCCAAGCACAAAAAACAATATATTGAGCACACAGCTTTTAATTTCCTAATTAATACTGAAACAATTCCTTTAGTTTTAGGTATGCAATTTAATAAAGAGAATTCAACGCATGTTATTAAACACTGTTTGGCTTAAGAGGAGAGAAGGTTCCAGGAAAACTTGATAGCAGCCTTCCAGTACCTACAGAGGGGCTACAAGAAAAATAGAGAGGGATACAATGGGGAAGTATATTGATAGGACAAGAAGTGACTTTTAAAGTGAAAAAGACTATATTTAGATCACATATAAGAAAGAAATTCTTCGGTATGAGAGTGGTGGGATACTGGAACAGGCTGCCCAGAGAAGGTGTGGGTGCTCCATCCGTGGAAGCCTACTAGACCAGACTAGATAAAGCTCCAAACAACCCTGGATTAGTGGAGTGTCCCTGTCCATAGCAGTGAAGTTGGAATGAGATGATCACTGAGGTCCCTTCCAGCCAAATGATTCTGTGTCTATATATGCAAATGAGCGCCAGCCACACCAGAAATACTTGTCAAAAGAGATATCAGTGTAATATTACTCTTATTACTAAATACAAGATAGACAGAAAATCTTTTTGACTGAGCATCTATTTTGTGCAGTTTCTCCCATATTTCTCATATGTTTTATTAAGATTATAAATAAATAATAAGTCTAAATGCTTTACACTTTCACACTGACTCTTGAGCAAAGATGAGATGTTTTCCTTAAAGGAAGCAAATATAATTCTGTCTTTTCAGCAAAGGAGTTGAGGTACAAAGGACTGAAGACCTGCTTCTGTGAGAAACAAAATATCCCTGTTTTCTTTTGAAATTAATGGAAGCAACAGGTTTTCTGCTGCTCTGAAAACAAGGTTGCATATAGAATTCCGTTCCCATTCAAAGAATCACAGAATTGTTAGGGTTGGAAGGGATGACTAGAAATAATCTAGTCAAGCCCCCAAGCCCAACCTCACAACTGCAACTTAAGTATTGCTCACTTATATAAAAAAAAAAGATCAAAAGTCAAGACAGTCTCTGTAGTACCCCATGAGCAAGAGAAAATTGCAGTGACATATACTTACTTTTTCTTTGCTTCACTATCCCCTGGAATTTGCCTTTTCTTTGGAAGTGGTGGTGGGGGAAATTCCTGTCTGGACTGTTTAACCACCACCTGTTCCTTCAATGGTGTTTCTGCAGTAGTCTTATGTGAGACCTGTGACATTCCTATGCTTCCTACAGCTTGAGTTACCTATACAAAATAATTTAGGGCAAGGATTATGTGCCATTTTTATACAAGCTGAGTTACTTTTTCTTATTTTCTTTTATTCAGTCATAAAAGCCTGTTCATTCACACCCACAAATGACCACACTGAGATGCCATGAAGCACTTTTATCATATTTACACTCCAGAGAAAGAGATTATTATTCTCATTTTACAGATGGGAACCTAAGCATCAAAATTCTCAGTTCAACTAGAATCATGCCATTCCAAGCGAACTAAAATTAACAAAGGGAGCATTATATGTATTTTCTTTCTTAATTTCTTCACAAAAAGAACAAAGTTACTTGGAGTTTATTATTAGCAATTCTACATTTTGTACTCTTACGCTAAAAAACAAAGCCTAGATCTCATGAAGAGCTGATACACAGTGAATTTGACCTAAAAACACACTCAAGTCAATAGAAACCTCCCATGCTCTTTATCAGGTTATAAGGTAAGTCCCAGGAGACTCAACCTGTAAGTTCTAAGTATGTGCTTGATATTTAAGGGGAATGAGAGAATAGAGGCAGGAATTGGCATTCTCTAGTGCTTTGACTCGAGCACAAGAACAAATTAAAGCCACATGGCTGAAACGAGTCCCTACCCAGACCGTACAACTCATTCACTATACATTAAATGGATCATGAATTAGTGTCATGGTTTTCATCATAACATCATATTAATATCACCAAAAAAAACTCACATATATAACTCACATATGAGTTATAAAGCTGTCAAATAAATCCCTCACAGAATCCAGTAGGAGTTCTGTCTAAATAAAAACATTATCAAGCACTCAAAATACTAAAATAAACATTGAGCAATCCAGCTTGGTTATCATCATTACTTGTCAAACAAACAACTACTCTATTTTCAACAGATGAGAAATCATACTCAGAGCATAAATACTTGTATGACTCCCATTTGTTTATCTATTCTGTAGTTTGGGTTCTGCCTTTGTTTTCTTTTAGTATCAGATTTAAATCCAGTCCCAGCACTCTTACAATGTTTAAAGGCATTTGCACTGACTGATAATACATAGCAAGCCTGCTTTACTCATCTTTCTGCTTTACTCAGAAAAATGAAGCTTAATCTGTGTGAGAAACAAGTATTACTGATCAAGTTAAAAACTTGAGCTTTTGGAGACCAAAAATGCAGATAGCTTTGTCAGCCCCACGTGAAAATGCACTCACCTACCTCTCTAACCTGATGCCTGGACAATTTTTCTAACACAGTGAAGTTTGCATACATGTAGTAACACAAGAAGCTAAAAAGTGATAAAGCCTTGTAAATACCTGGTTAGAGTAATCCTCTAGCTTCTGAACCAAACTGTCCCACCTCTGAGTTAGTTCTTCTTGATCCTGATCAATTGTACTGGATGCTTTGCCATTCCCAAGGATTTGGGCCACATCCTGACCAAGTTCATTCAGCTGGTCTAGCGTTTGTCGTTTCATACCCATGTCCTCTTTTAAAATCTGTAGTTAAAAGAAACTATTAAAATATAACATCAAGTATTCTACTTCCCCTAAGCTTTAACTCCATGGCTAAGAGGCAAATGGGTTTGAAAGGGTGGTGACAGGGTGAAATATGTACTACCTGAGCCAGATGAACAGTTTTTTTGCATAAAAAAAGCACTAGCAAACACTATTTTTAAAGAGCACATCCTTGAAAAATCTTCTAGAGGGACCAGAACTCTCTTCAGTAACAGTTACAAATTATTGGTTTAGGTACAAGCTGCTCCAATGAAATAAAGAAAAACCCACACCACAAACCTATACCTTGGAAACCACAGCTGACTGCTGGCCTGCAATAATATCCAAACCCTCTCAAAAATCTGGAATAGCTGTTCAGAGTTTGGCACACCAATATGGAATGGCCATGGAGTAAATAGCACATATGTTTTAAATTCAAATCCAAGAATCTGGCAAGAAAAGAATGCTGGCCTGGCTTCTAATGCATTGTGCATTCACAGCTCCTACTAGGGTCAAACTAGTGATTTGCCACTCATCTAGTCTATGGGATTTGATGGGATAGAGCAGGATATCAATACTCACTGCTAGTTTTCGAACATTCACACTCAGGTCTGTTTGATCTCTAAAGTTGCTCGTCTGGACCTTACTCAAAGCCTCTTCTTTCTCAGTTAACCAAGCTTTCAATAAGCACTGCAGATCATAAGAAAAATAGCACAAGAAAATACCAATACTGTCAAACAGCTATTGACAATTGCTTCTTTAAAATATTTGCATTCAAAACACATTTCTGCAGTATTTATATGCTGGAATTTCAGTTGGCTTTAACAAAAATAGTACACAAAAGTGGACAAAAATATCAGATTAGGGAAGCAAGTAATACTTCCATCGAAACAATTTCTCAATATACCAGAGCACACCTCCCCCAAATTTATTTATATAACAAACAGATGTCCACCATAAAGCTAACATAGGATTTATAAATCATTATAAAATATATCAAAATAGCATGCATTCTTTTTTTTTTTCCATCCTTCTTCCTCTATAACTCAAACACAGCTGTTACAAACATTTTCTCACAGAAGTGACACCACTGGTAATTCATATTTCTTTTAGTCCAGGCAGTTGATCAAAGACTCAGATAGTAATTAGCCACCTCCCTGTTTATGGTACCTACTTTCAATTGCAAAACAATGTCAGAAAATTCTATTTCATTAACTACTGGAAGCTGAGTGGTCTGCTCTGAATAGTTTTAACTCATGGAACTTTAGTTCTTTCCATTTTTTTTTCTACAAAACCTGTCCTATGTCTCACTTCTCTTCAGTCAAACAGCACTCCTGTAGTAATACCAGCAATAACTGGCATCAAGTACCAGGAAGGATTTTATGTATTCTATATTATGTTCCTACATAATGCTGCTGCTGGACATCAACCTCCATGGACTAGAATGCCCATCTCTCTACCAGTCTCAGTTGCCCAGCTATTGGTGCACTGCTGTTCCTCTCCATTTAAAAATAAATCACACAGCAAGACCTTTTTTGTTGTTTGAACAACACACTTTGCAACAGCCACCAGGCTCCCCATCCTAGCTGTATATTTTTGGCATTGTCCCAGAACTTACTATAGCAACTTTGGGCCACAGGGCTAAGTCAGTTCACGTTTCTAATGTAAACCAATATGCAAAATATGCAGTCATAAAATATGATGGTGGTTGAAATGCCATAAGGCTGTGAGAAAAAAAATTATAACACCACACACTCTTGAAAAATCATGTTGGCATCCCAGCCAACATATTTTATGCATAAGAGGAGCTCAAAACCCCTTAATGCATTCAGTTAATTTCTGCTAAATCAGCAGTCAAAGACAACTCTCCCTAGAAAACTGAAACATAATTACCACAGTGTTAAGAAGTCTCTGGCACTGACTGAGGAGTTTGTTTCCTGAGTGGTAAGGACTGTGTTGACTTGAAAATGTGGTGTACAAGAGCTTTTTAGGTAGACACAAAAAGGCTGATGCATCACTGTTGCTCATCTCTCCATTTGGTTGGACAAAATAAAGAATGCTTTAATAAAGTACTTTAGTTACTTTTGTGCTATGAAAGTGTTTGCATTCATTTTTTAAGTAGTTTCAGACTGTAAGTTTTGTAAGTCACTTGATCATCATTGAGGGTTTCTAATTCAACCCTGCTAGTAATAAATGAATTGTTCAGGTGAACAATGAGTGCAAAAAGGCTCATCTAAACCAGCTAAAACAAACTTCAATTTGCTCCTTATTTGCTATATGACATTCTACATTAAGCTCATTGATTACTTCATTTTTACAGAGCAACACAGCTACACACAAATTTAAATTAGGCTGAGTTCAAATGTCCTACTCCAAAACAATATGGCACTTCTAACAGTATTGTAATAGTCAAAGAATGGTCCCCAAACACACGGAAGGGTAGAAATGAATATTGATATGATGACAGACTCATCAAAACTAAGAGCACTTTAAGTCCATACCTCAAACATATACAGCAAGGATTTTGGGGGAATCCTTATTTCTCAATTCCGAGTTACCATGCCCAAGAGTTGCCAGAAAATGTTAGCACATTATTTTCTGGATACACATACACAAATGACAAAGCATTATTTTAAAGAAATATACATGAACAGATATTTGGCATGGGATAATACATAATCATAACCTTGGGTCCATATTAACAAGGTCACATGAGCTACAAATTCAGCATATCCATATACTACAATCAGATATGGGAGAGGTAAGGGAGAAACACACATGCAGCCCCAAAGAACACAGACAAAACATGCTTGTCAAAAAAAACAGGCTGCAGCTGATACCAGTAGATATACCAGTATTGTTCAACTTCTTTCAGATATCTAAATCTCTGTTTTGTTTAAACAATAGCTTAAAGTGATAAATATAAGGTTTAAGAAAAAAACAATTTCAGGAAAATCTTCAAATAAAAAAAAACAAAATATTTTAAGCTGAGAAATGAAACAAGTTCTAGTTTTAAGTACACAAACAGCTCATGTAGTTGTGGTACATTATTTTTATGCCATCAATTACTTGTGTTTGAGAAGTAATTTTTTACATAAAATACATTATATCAAAGCAAGAAAACACTTTAGTATTACACAATTGTGTGTATGTGTTCATGCTGGAAGCATAAATACGTTAATTAGGAAGATATATGTAATGACAAAACTACCCAATAGAAAAATGACAATGAATTTTCTAAGTATAACAGATATTCCCACTTCTTGACCTTTTTACAAGATACCTTGGAAATTACTTTATAAGGAGCTATAAACTTCTATTCTTAAACTTTGGATAAATACTTCTATTGCACTTCAGAGCTACTCCTGTCCTCAAAGAACACTGGGAACACCAACAATAACAAATTCTAGGATTTCAAGGTCTCTTTTCCATGAGTTGCTCAATCCTAGTCTGAGCTTTGACAGTTTGGGCTTTCTCAGTTTGCTTTTTCCCCTTCCACAAATTGACCAGTCACTCTGAGAAACAGAACAGCTACTCACCTGTTCTTCCAGCAGCTCCTGCCATAAAAGCTCAATTTCTTGCAGCTTGACTCGCCGATCCTCAGTCCAACGACAAACTGCTGTCCACCGCTCACCAAGCCTCTACAACAGCACAAAATACTCAGAAATTATCACAAACCGCACAAAGAAACTCCAAAACCAGATATTCAAAAGTGATTTCTACTCCACATTAACTTCTTTCTACATTATATCTACTTTCCTGTCCATTATTGATATTGCTGTATTGCACAGTGCTGGAGACTAACACTTTCAAAAACATTCACATACAGCCTTAACTGTGGTTTTGCTCAAGTCTTTGAGCTATTTAATTGATTTAAAAAGGAATGAACAAAGTAGCATTAATCCTGTTTGAAAAAAGTCTTTCTCATGTACTCACTGTACTTCAGGTTATAGTCCTAAGTGACAAGAAAACACTTCATATGATATTCCCTAGATAAATTGCATTCATGTCTTCCAAGTATTTCTCCTATCGGATTTTAACTTTTTTAGGAAAATAACTTACATGAAATAAGCATTGTACTATCAATCTTCCCATTTAATGAAACTGCTGAAAGGATATACTACCAAATTACCTAAATCATTGGAAATGTAAACAGTTTAATAAATTAGGAACTGAGCTTGAAAGTCACAGTACTTTTGCAGGTTTTAGCTTGAGCTGGTTTAATAATTATTCAAGTTATTATTTCTCCTAAAGAAAATGTTATTTTAAATTACTTTCCAAGATAAATTGTCTTTAAACACAAAAATGTTGATTAACAATTACATGCAAATTTTTCAAGTGTCTGATAATACCATTAAAAAAAGAGGACTCTAAGATTTTACCTGCAATTGTTCCTCCAGAATAGCTGTAGCACTTTCCCCACTGCTTTCATCAACAATGACCACCATGTGTGTTAGGGAGTTGACCTTCACCTGTTCTGCCTCTAGGTCACTCTGCAGACTCTACAAGAACAAATCAGAGGTTACCAACTTTGAAGGCATTTGCTAATCTGCTATTTTGGCCACAGTGACTATCACAGAGGCAGTGGCAAACAAACTTTGGTATTTCAGATTCAACAGCTAAGCACATATTTTACCACTGGCAATCACTGCACAGTTTAAAAATTTTAAGAAAAGGTTGCTAGAAATGAACCCAAACCCATTCTGGGTTAAAATACTGTAAAATATAGAGTGCCTTAAGTTGGATGCCCCAGACTTGACTAGGAGAATCACATGACAACTGCACTGATTTCCATATGTCCAATGTTATACATAGGAGAGCTTAAGTGTTTCTACACAGGGCTGCTATTGTTAATAAGCAAGCAACATAGGCCATGCCAAACAGAAATCATTAAGAATGCTCATTTTTCAAGAGCTGACAATATAATTCCAAAAGTATCAACAGCGCAACAACTGACCATGATGCTCCTAAGGTAATAGTTGAAAACTGCAGAAAACATGCAGTTCTGATTAAAGCAATCTGTAGATTTAAATATTCATACAACTTCTAAAAGAACAGATTCAATGGTTAAAGCCTACTACAAAATATCTCTGCAATATCAACACACCTTTACAGTACTGTAAATGTCACTTTATACCAGCATATCCTAAACTACTCTATGAAACACAGCCTCAAACTCCCCAGACTTTGAAAACAAAGGACAGGAAACTACACAGACTAAAAATACTCTAGTGTTCTTGTTCTGTGAGGTATGTCCCATACTGGGGAGAAGGTCAAACCTCAGCACTGAGCATGAAAACTAAAGCTGCACCACGACAAATATCAAAAGGAAATCTTTCTTCTTCACAAAAACATTGCAGGATAGAAAGGCTGGATTTGCCTTTAATCTTTTGTTGGATTACCCAAAAATTCATTTGAGAGAAAAAACACTTCCAAATATTGCACATGTGAGAAAGCAGTGTCTAACTGAACACTCCCTTAGGATGGGACTGGAATTGGTGACTTGGAAGGTCCTGATGGTTTTGATTCCCTCACTATTTTAATGTGCAAGTCTCAAGCTGGCTTTAGTAAGCCTGCCAGCAATTAAGGGCGAGTCTGTCCACAGTACCTTTCATACTGCTCCTCACATCAACTGTTTACCAGGAGAGGCCCTATTCTACTCATAAAGTAAGGCTAACAAATTTCCCTAAAGGTTCAATTTCCTGCATGAAGCAAATATAATAGTTCCTGCTAGTCAGCAGTGCTCAGGTGCTAAGGCTTCTAATTCCTTCCTACACCATTGTCATCCTTTTCCAAACACCAAATGCAGTCATATATTACTCTTGACAATCAACTTTCTCATGTACCAATGTACACATCTTCCAAGTATTTCTCCTATACATATAAGGCTTACCTTATGTTCTTCCAGTTGTTTTTGAAGCGACCCCAAATCTTCCGCTAGGAGCTGAGATTCCATCTTCTGAATGCGCTCCTCTGTGACCGTCAGCCAGTCAGACAGCTGCTGCAGCTGCTGCTTCTGGAGCTCCATCAGCATGTCATGCAGGCTGCAGGGGGAAGCACAGAGTTACTTCAGACACAGCTTTCCCCAAGAAAGGAACTAAATTCTAGTTCATACAGGAAAGAAGCAAGGCCATATATAAAACTGTTACTTATCACCAAATAAAACTTTCACCATTTAGCTAAGGAACACAGATAAGTATTCTTGTTTCTTTCTCAATAAAAAATGTTCATGAATTATGCAATCTATATCGGGGATTGTTTCTTCCAATGGGGTTTGCTGCTAATAAAGCCACTGCTGAAAGTCACAACAAAACACCAAAGTTTCTCCATTGATATGCAGCTCTTACCTCAGTAACTCATATATAGGGAAAAATTCTTCTAAAAGCTTTTTAATTACGTAAATACCCATAGATATCCACTATACACTTTACTGAGAAACTTAAATGTGTTTCTAATATTGTTTCAGTAGCTTATGCAACCACTGCATTTAAATACCATATATTTAGTCTGGCACATCTACATAACATTTCACATTACTTTGCGTAATGACCAAAAAAAACACAGTAAGTTATACACATTCCTTCTGTTTCACTTTAAAGTATGAAGGAGGATTTTGTGCCACAAAGTGAAATGTTGATTCCAAAAAAAGTCTTACAAATGGATGCAAACCAAATTCTCCAAAACACAGCAAGCACCAGAGGTCAGTCCTGAACCTCTAGAAGAAGTTATGTGCCATGAACTCACCGGGACTGCCTGTCCATGCTCTCCACCCTGAGTTCCTCCCAGCGGGAGTTCAGCAGCAGCATTTGCTCCTGGATCTCAAACTCTTCTTCAGGTGACAGATTTCCCTGGGCCACCAGTTGGTTTCCAGCCTGCAGAACATTGCCCACACTGCTCTGGTGCGCAGTCAGTTCCATCATAAAACCCTGGAAATGGTACAAGCAGACATCACTGTGAGGTCCTATCAGACCTTATGACTTGGTAAATATCCTAAAAAACTTTAATGTTTGAATCAGTGCTCTAGAAGGAGCTGGCACCACCAAATGCATGATGATGGCAGACCTGTTCCTTTCCTTGACACAAGATTTTCCATGCACTACAAAAATTCTGGATCCAGTAAAACAGGAAAAAAAAGCTGACCACCTCAATGAAAGATCTGTTTGAGAGAAGAGATCCTTCAAACAAACACAATAAAAATATGAAACAGGAATTTACCTATGGCCAACAGAATATGAAACAACATCTGAAATGTACTGTAGGAAAACAATTAGAACTCTAAGAGTTAGCAACATATATTTACAGTAAACCCAGAACAGCTCTTCCTTTGCTTCATGGCTTTAAAATTGTAGCACAAGGAAAAAATTCCTCGGATTGATCAAGCATTCAGACTCTGTATTTGATTTTATACAGTAGGCTGGCATGGGAAAAAACTAAAACATCTAACATGATAAAAACCTTCTTGCAATATTAGGACATTTTTTCAGATTTAGACTAAAGTCAAATCAAAATTTGTAAAAAAGAATAATTAGGAATCATCAACACATGTTTCTGAAACAAACTATCCTAATAATCACAGGAGGACCACTGAATAAATTGACATAATTGTCAATTTCAGCATTACCCTTATTTAACAGCAAGTGGCATAAGGCTGACCAGGTTTTTTAGTAATTAGCAGCAGGGAAGTACAACTCAGCCTGAGATCAGACTGCCTTTGTATTATGCATACCTGTAAACCAGTTACCAAAAGTTGATTTTAAAAAATTACATTAAGGTTTCAAATCACGCTTCACTCTAGGTTCTTCTAAAAAGAAAAATTTTGCCTTGAATAAAGGGTAGGAAATGGAAGTTCTGCAGCTTATTTACACAAACACAAACCACAACAGAAGGATTTATAAGAGAAGCTTACTTCGTGAGTGGAAAATTGTTCTTTGACTTCCTCAACATCACCGGATATTTCCTCCTGTTCCCGAAATGCATCCTCAGCTGACAGCAACCATGTAAGAACTTCTTCCAGAGCAACTTGGTAGCTATCCAAGTCCATATCCACCTCTGTCACTGTGCTGGGAGTCTCTGCTCTAGAACTGTCCTGGTCTTCTTCAAGTGCCACAGTCTAGGCAGCCAAGAGGAAAGAGTTGTCTTAGAACTGCACAGAAGATTCTCTACCAAATGGTATTAAAAACAGATCAACTAAGATCTCTTTCAAGCTTTCATAAGATGTTAAAAAAAATTGTTGTATACGCGTTAATTAGAAAGTCACTATATTAAACTGCAAGTTTCTTAGTAAAGAACCTGGATAGAAAATACAACTTTAATCTTGCTCTGTCAACAGTGAATCTTAAAACCAACCAAAACCTCATCACTACCACTAACCACCACAAGTTCCATGGAACATCCAGTTAAAGATTCTGGACCATCCTCTTCAGCTGATCAAGACATATGAAGCAAAGAAAAAAAAAAAACAAAAACAAAAAACCTAACAACCAAAACAAAAAACCAAACACCCACAAGGCAATATATCATGAATTTATACGTCAATACACAAGACTTCAGCTAAAATTGCAACTCAAGAAAACCCGGCTTTGATGATAAACACACCTGCTGCACACTGAATTCTCCATCCTCACATTCCTGCTTGTATCTCCTTGGAAGTGTTTCTACCTCACGAATGTCTTCCATTGTAACTTGCTTAGGAAGGACCTCAAACAAAGAAGTTAAATACATAATAATGGACTTTTTGTCCGGAATCTGTACAGCAACATCTGCATCAAAAAGATAAAACATGGGGAAAAATAAATGAAGACAATTTTTTAAATCATTACATAGAACACACATAATAATTCACATATTGTCCTGTTTAAACAGCCTTTCATAAACTTTTAACTTAGTGACCAGGCCGGACACACCTTAAAAGTAGCATAAAGGAGACAAAAAAAATTCTTCTACAATTGGTAGTGAATTCACATTAAAAGTCTTGATCTTTTCCAAGAAAGAACCCAGACATTAAGTTGCTAAGGAATAAAATCTGCCTGAGGAAAATTGTTCTGAAGCATCTCCCAAGCAGAAATGTGTCAAGGACAGTATCCTACAAAACTAGCCTTTCCACTTAGGCTCTATCCCCCTCCCAATTGTCAGTCAGGTAATTTTCTCATTTTCCACACTGAAAAGAGTTTCACTGAGTCAGGCTGTGTTCTGAACAGTACTCATTCAGTTAATTTTTTTTTTTTTTCCACAAGAAGGTGATGCTTGTCTTTCAGAGTGAATCTTCGGAGGCTCACTTCAAAGCAGAGGAACAGGTCAGTAAATTAAAAAGGTTTCCTGATAAGCATTCCTAGACAACTACTGCTACTCAGTGTGTGTGTAAAGAACAATAAATTCTGAGCTCTTAAACAGCCCCATTCTACAAAATGCACTACTGCACCTGCACTACTCATAGCACAGCTCCTACCTACAAGGAAACACAGTCAGCATATCAACTTTGCCTTCCTTACACAGTCCCTGGATGGAAAGGCAACCTAACTTTAATATTCAAAACACCAAAACCCACACATATACATCCGTACCCTTACTGTAACAAATGCCATTTGCTTAAATCCAAATTTAAAGGCTTGAAATTAAATAGCACTGAACAAAGCTGATAGAATTGTCATTCATACTTAGTATTAATAGAAAATATTTATTTTAAGAGAGCTCAAAAAAAGCTTCTTGTTGAGTAAAATAACTGTATCCCACCTTCAGGATCCAATAGTTTCTCTATTCCCAAGTGGTTCTTGGCTATGTTGAAAGCATTTTCCAGTCTCTCAACCGGGGACATCTTTGTAACTTTATCCCAGCTGAACAGCTCAGGTCTAAAAGTGAAAGCAAAACAAGGATGAAAGCAAATTTATCCATAGGAAAATTACATACCATGCAGAATACTGAGTTAGGCATATGATAGCAGCTACCCAAATAATATATTCATTAATATATATAACAAATACCAACGTAAGTACATACACACAAATGCAAAACAAAAAGCACAATTCTCACTTATTAGAAAATCTGACAATCACAAATTAACTGACTGCATGGCCACAGCAACATCCACCTTCCATTCCATCTCCTAAACAAAGTCATTGACTGAAACAGGAGATCAAATACCACCAGCAAGAACACAAGCTTTGTTTAAAATTTATCTCAGAACCAGTTTTCCTAACTGTTTCTTTTACAGCATTTTATTACTACACATTTTCTGCATCAGGCACTGCTGGATAATCAAGAGTCACTCTGTTCCTGGAAAACCTCATTCCAAACTTGTGATATGGCTCAGTGACCACCCCAGGCCATCACAGCCAGGAGAAACAGCAGTCTCCACCCCACTCACTCACTCTTCCCCATGGTCTTTTTCCCCCAATAACAAAAAACAGCCTGCAGGAAAACATTCCATCACAAGTGCTCATGAGACCCTGTAGGAATCAGGCCAAGGAGCTGATCAATTTGCAGTGTCAGCAGCCTTCATCTAAGATCAGTGTTAACCCAAGGGCATCTCCAGTCCAGCTGCACACCCAACAAATGCTGGTGAAAGAGTGGAAGAGGGGAAAGAGCAGAGCACACAACAGGAAGCAGAGGGAGCAAACAGGGCCCATTCCGAGCAGCACCTACACCTGTGGGGCATGATGAGCCAAGTGCTGCAGCAGCACAGCTGCAGAGCCATTAAAACATCCTCCATTCTCCTGCAACAGTGGCTTCTCATCAAAACACTGCTATTGATTCAGTACTTCATTGAACTTGGGGAGGAAGGGATGGGCTTGCCTTTAATTCTTTTAATATTTCATTCAGTTGTAAATTGACTTAAGAGTGCCCTTTATCATCTGTCAAGTCATTAAGTTTGTGAAACAGGAAGTCCCTAAGCCAACAGAGTTTAAAAAGCAAAAAGCCAGAAGAAAGCAGGGTGAGCAGGAACAAAGATATACACAGAAGCTCATGGAATACTGTACATCCATGCAAAAGCAACAAGAAGAACCACAGATTCATGTATATCTTTAGTAGATACTGACTTTGAAAACAAAGATTTTTTTTTTTTTTATAAATCACAACTAGGTACTTACCTAAGAGTAAGAAAATCAAACTAAAAAGTAGAATTCAATTCAAAAAGGAGCTAAGCTAATATTAGTAAATGAAAGAGACCAGTACAGTAAAATGCCAGTAAAATTATACTAGCTAACAAGTTATTTACATGTTGCAGGTGTTACAAAGATATTAGATATTGTACCCAAGAGGTAGCACAACTAACAATTGCTGAGATACATAATGAGAAAAGAAAGCTATTTAATATCTTAATGGAATCCATTAAGACTCTCATCTTTTAAGTGTTATATTAAACTAAAATATAAAAGTGGTATTGAAAAATGTCCCTGAGGTAGGGAAGCACTACTGTCTGGGTAAGTTAAATGGCTTTGTTTTCCTATAGCTTCTGCAACCTAACCAACCTCCTTGCTCCTTGCAAGTGCTTTTAAAGACTCTCCTTCAAAGCTGAAAAAATAAACCCAGCTCAAGATAAAGTATGGGGAAAATGGTGCTTCTCTGACTAAAGGACCTGTGCTTAGGGACAAGAAAGCAGAATTCTGACATGCCAGCAGCTGTCAGGCTCCAAGGAATATGTCAGGCTCAGACCAAGATTTTAGGGAAGTCACAGGAAAGCACAGTTACTGAGTCAAAAGCTTTCAGCTGAGGCTTTTGCTATTTAACAAGTTCTCTGAAAAGGGCTGAGATTTCGGATCCTGCACAGCCTAAGCACATAGTAAAAATAAAAGGACAACAAACAGCCTAAAACTAATTTTTATGCTTCTCTCAGGTCACCTAGGTTTCATTTGTGTCTAAAGCTGACACACTCCATCACAAAGCTTCACACATTCAGCAGCAGAGCAAGAACACTATAAGCAGTTGTGCTGGTAGGAAAATCACCATAACTGCTCACACAATCTGGGGGAGGGACTTCATAATACTTGTGATAAATTCCAGTGAGAGGTTTAGCAGCTCTGTCCTTGCACAGTACTCCTTCCAGACTTGCAGAAGCCGTCAGCATGGTGCTGGCTCTCCTCACACAGCCATGCAGGCTGACCACAAGCCAGCTCTGGTCCACGAGACACAGAGTTATGTAATGGCAGACCTGTCCTGAAGCCAGTGAGCCTGCGACTGTGGCTATTGTGCTTACCACAGGCCAAATGGGCACTTCAGAGCCGGCTCAAAGTGAATGTATGTTCTGCAAACACTTTGCACCTGCTGGGTATAAATCTAAGTGTATGTAAAGCATTTGCTGTGTCAAATACCTGGTGACCAGGAGGTATGGTTAAATTCCAGAAATTGTTACACCATTTCCACATTAAAATGATTATTTTTGGGTAACAACAGTAAGACCTTAAAAAGCAATGAGCTGACTTCATTTAAGAGACACAGGATTAGAAGGGATTGTCCAGTAAATCTTAAAGAAGAGATTTTTTAAAAAGGAAGTAAAAAAAGTATGCAACTTTAATGGAATCTGTAATGATGATTTATTTAAACTTCTGAAGAATCTTGCAAAAATCAGAAAGAACACAAAAGATCTGTGCAAAGAAACTTTAACTCCATTCCTTATAAAGTATAATGAACAAACTCAAGGATATTCTACAGATACCTAAAGTGTTTGATATTCTGCCCCACAGTTTTGCCTGCAGTTCTGAAAGAACTACATACATTGTCTTTCAAGCAAGATATATTAAAAAACACCAGAAAAGCTACAGAGCTTCTCATTTCTTCATTTTGAAGCTTCTGTATCTTCTTATTGAAACTATATGGCATTCTCCAATGGAAAAAAATTTATTTTTGCAAAGGAGGGAAGGTAGAAGGAGAGAAATTCAGATGAAAGAGATGGTCAACTCCTCCTTCTCCCACAGAGACCCTTTCAATATGTTTACTGTAAAATGCATACCAAGTGGGATGTAAACCCACTCCAATTAGCAAATGTTTGTGCACATGCAGGAACTCAGCATTACCCTCCTGCCTTGGCTACAGTCTTGCTGGCAATATCCCACTACTGCTATTTGTTGCCACAAAAAAAGGCAAACAAAAATCCTGGACAATGAATCACTGAAATGGGCCAGAAGCTCTCAAATGTTCAAGCATGAAGACAGAGGATAAAAGCTGTTCACTTCACTAGGTCAAAGATAAGTTGTTTGCCACTTACTTATGTCTGTGGATGACAGCATTAAAGGCAAGTCCATCAGCCCAGCTCGTGGTGAAGTTCAAAACATTGACCTGACTGTAAGGTCTGGTGGACTGGCGAACCCAGCTCAGCAGTATCTTCTCACTGTTGGTCTGCTGCAAATCTGACATGATGTTCTTCATGACATCCTTCACCTGCAAGACAGCAACTACACCTTACAAACATATGCCCCACTTTTCCTCCTTACAAAACCAAACTACTTCACAAATCATGGAAGGGGCTTCCCCATGAAAAGGCATGAATCAAACTCCAATTCCTCACAGGAAATTTGGGAATAGCAGTCTTCAGGTCATCTTTGCCCTCTACTGGTTACAAGAACCAGTGATGCTTCGTGTAATAATGACACTTTACTCTTACATTATAATCCTCTCACTCTCCTTGATGCTGTCTGCTCTAAGCATAGGAAATAAAACTCCTTACTGCTTTGTGCTGTGGTTCCTCCAGTAAACAAACTCAAAAAATACAGCTTGTATAGGTTTTCTGCAAGAGGAGGATATCTGCTCATCCTACAAAAGTACTTTGTTGTTTGGGTACTAGTTATACACATCTACAAAGGTCCCTCCAAATTAATTCAGTGATCATCCTAGATACTTAGATAAACCAGGAACAATTCCATCTATGAGACTAACAGACCTACAAAGCAGCTGTAAGATGCAAGACAAACACAGCTACCTAAACAGTAAAACACTACCTGCCTCAAGGCCTTGAGGAAGGAATGGAAATACAATGCTTCAGCCCGAAAATCCTCTCTGCAATTCACACCAGCAGGAACTAAACTGAGTGGCTGAGCACAACTGTGAGCATACGAGAATACAGATCATGGGAGGCAGCCAATAGACTTTGAGCAGAAACCAAATACCGGCCTGCCTTTATTTATCAGCCCAAAATAGAAGCAGTATTTTCTGCCACCAAAAGCCTGGGAAGGTTTGAGAAAATCACAGCAGAACAATGTACATGATTCCTGGAAAGGAAGAGATCTCACAGCAGACTCTCACCTGCCAGTGCAAGATAATGCTCCAGAGCAGCCCCAGCGTCAGCTTGTGATTTCCATCAACGATGTCAGTTCCTCCAATATTCACCAGCTCCACCTGGAGAGGTTGAATCAACTCTCTATTAAACACTGTTATCATAGCTCCAAGTAACAACCCCACCCCACATCCCTGGCTGTCCAGCCAAGTATTACCAAGTGCTCTGAAATAAATAGTAGTTGAAGAGAAAAGCAGAGTTGACAGAAAACTGTTCATCTGAATTTGTCATGACAACTGCTTAAATAAACTTAACATTAACTGCTTAAACTGCATGACAAGAGATGGCACCAAAGAATATATTCCACTGGAAGAGTTTTATTCTCTCCTCTAAATATACAGGTGCATACCAGCAGTCAAAACTGAAAAACAGAAATGCAAGCATAAAGGACTTGATAAGAAAATAAAAATTAAGCAAGTTTGGTCCTCAGTTATTTTTATATTTTAATTTGATTTACAAATCAAAAAAGTTGACTTTCCTTAGTTGGAACCATTCTGCTTAAAGGATGAGATTCACAGGATCACTTGGTCACCTACACCCTAGGTTTGTCTGATCCTTGCAATATATATTTAAACACTTTTATAAATTATTTCACAAGTTATGAATATTTCATAGCCCACAAACTCTCAAACAACAGAATGCAACTGCTTCTCAGTGGATGCCTTTTCCCTCCATCATAACACACAACACACTTTCTAATGAAGCTAAGCAGTAGGCATAAATCAACTACATGACCTTAACAACCTTCAGCTAACTAAGACCATCTGTTTACTTCCAGAAACCCAGATGCTGTCAGCTTAAGGAAGAAATCATTAATTATTGCAATTCAGTATTGTTTCATTTATTGTTATAATAAAATTAATCATTTTCAAGCTGAAAAACTCATTATTTATCCTTTTAAAAGTTAATATTTACAGTGCCTCAAAGAACAAAAAGAACCGACTGCCAGCTTTGTCTGCTTCCAAGAAATATGACACTAGTCCACCAACACAGAGGGGAAATTGCAGTATAATACAGAATGTTGTGTCACCCTTCAATCAGCAGTTTACATAAATATGCCCATGATTTCTTGTATTTGATGTATTTTATTGCCAAAATGTTTTTATTATGTTATTTTAGTGACCTGACATTCACAAATAGAAATTCTAAGTATAGACAGCACACTTACCAGGAATTGTTAATCAAAAAAAGGAAGAAAAACTAAAACCACTTTACTATAGCACTACTGTCTTCCAAGCAGTAGAAACAAATACTAAGCCAAATAATGAATATTCTTGTTTTTCTTAAAGGAAGATTTGATTTTGTTTGCTTGTTTGTTCTTCTGATCATTAGCAAAGCTGCAAATTAGAAACACTGTACGTTTGACACAGAGGTGACAGAAATCAATGAAAAGACCCTCCTGAAAGCGTAGAGCAGGACAGAGCCATGAAACTTGCCATCCCCTTACAGGTTCCTGCACAAGTTATGCAGCATTATTTGAAATTATTCTTTTGTCCTGCTGTGTTCACCAGCTATGCAATAGCAAAACATCAAGGCACCTTTTTCTTGGGAGCTGCACACATCTCAACAAGCCAGAGTGTGATCAGTGGTTTAATACTATTATCAAGTTTGCATGTTAAGATCTTGCAGAATGGAAATTCTGCATTATATAAGAAACTATGAACAGTTTACTCATCTCAATGAGGTCTCAGATACAAAAAACTTTTACTCTCTGCATTCTGAACTCATTTACATACAAAAAACTAAAGAATCTCCTGAAAAGCTGTGGAAAAACATGCTTACATTGTTCTGATGCAAGACTTGCAGTACTCGGTTGACGTTATTCAAGGCGTGTACTCGTGTGGAACCTCGTTCTTTAGGCTGAAAATAAAAAGTTACAATCTGTTCAACATCAGAATTAATGGACATACCAAACAAAACTAGAGAAGAAATCTTCAGATTTTAACTTCTTTCTTTCAGTAGTAATAAGAAAAACCAAACAAGATCATCCACAACAATTTCAAAATGAAAACTGGTCAGAATAATATTCCCCAATTCAAGGCACAGGACAGGCCTTGGAGTCAAAATGTGTTTCAGCTCATCTTCAGTTAAGGCCAAAATTTTTATTCCCAGCATCTACAGAATTATAAACCACCAATGCAAAAGCAAAGGAAGAGTTCCTGGGGAAAATATGAGGCTTTTGAACATTTGCCAGAGTACTTGAAATTTTCTGGCTCCCAAGAGAGAACAAGCAGCAATTTGTTTTTCTGGCACCAAAAGCCTGCTAAATCTTTGCATACTGGGAAGAAGTTATTCTTCCTGACTTTCCCTTCCTTTTAATATCAAGAGAATAAAAAAAAAAACCAAAAAAAGTCCGCAACCAGACAAAAAACCCCACCAAAAAAAAAACAAACCTTCAACTCTTGACAATACCTGCCACTCCATTTGCTTTTAATCACCATTATTTAATTCCTGTGGCAGAAAGTGATCATACTGCAAAAGCATGGAGCTGAATTTGGAGCACAACAGTCAACTTAGATACAAAAAAATTCATGTTGTTTTCATCGTATTTCGAATCACACCACAAATTATTAAAAGTAGTAGTAAAACACATCTGCTTAAAAAAAAAAGTAAGCTTGCACTGTGAAATTTTGTATGACTTAAGGTTCCCCATAAGGTCCATAAACAAATTTGAGGCTTAGTATAAATAGTGAAATCAAGAATTTAATCCCAAGTAATGACACAGGTTTCACCATATTTCATGCATCTTTCTGAAGAGCCATTAATGGTAGCAGGGGAAGAATTTTCAGCCACATGCACTTTCCCATATACATTTTGAGCAGTTTTAATCCTTTTCCTGTCTGTAGATGATGAATCTTTTCAATGAAGATGCAGATTTTTACCTACTAACTGTTGTCTTTTACTTTCTTTTTGTTCTTTAAGGGGTCTTTCATGAGCTTACTAGAAGCCCACGGGGATCCAGCTGAACACAGGTCTACCTGGTCATCCAGAAACAGACCTTTAAAAGATCTCTAGTAAAAACATAGACTATGTGAACAACACCACTGATTACATGCTTTGCTAGACCCTTAAGTAAACTCTCAAGAGAGGGTTACACAGTTAAGATTCAGCCTGACCCTGTATCTCATGAGTGAAGTTCATGGGAATTTCACTAGAACTGTAAAGAACAAGTACACATTACAAGCAAATTAAGGTTTTAAATAATTTATTTTTTTTAATCTCATGCATCAGTTTGTGTTTTGTTTATTCATTGGTTTGGGTTTTTTTAATAAATGGAAATATGACTCAGATGTTTCTCTTACCAGAGGTTTCCCCGTCAGGCCCTCCAAAAGGTCCAAAAGCTTCCTTCCATCTTTGAGATCTGTGAACATGTCTTTCACCGGGGCCTTCCCACTCTGCAGAAGAAAAGAAAAAATAAAGGATTAATAAAAACAGTGTTTAAGCAGAACTTCCCTGAAATATACTTTTTCCTTTGTATCTTTTAATTTATTCTTATTCGGCACTAAAAGTAGCAAATTAAAGCTAGGTGACTGTACAGTGATCAAGTAGGAAACCTTCCCTTTTTAAGTGTATTTTTCTTTCTTCCCTGTCAGTGTGGTCCTATGCATCAGCAGCCTTGTACTAAGGAATCAAATCAGTGCATCCTGGCTCAGATTAGGGTGGATGCATGAACACGCAAAGATGGCAAAGAAACAAAATTTGTCAAGTTTGAGGACTCATTTGAGAAAGAATGCTTTGGTTTGGCTGCATCTAAAGGAAGAACTGAGGCTATTCAGAAAGAAGCTACCAGGACAAATTCACTCAGATTTAAAAAAAAAGGACAAAAAAATTACTTGGAATTGAGCACTGGGTAAGATACCACTGTTCTACAAAGACCAGTAGATCAAAAGATATAATATTTATTGAAACAAATTAATCACTTTCTCTACCATGGAAAAGAAGCATAATGTGAAACCCAGAGGTACTCTAAATCATAAATTTCTAATTTTTGCTTTCTTTGGGAGTGGAGGGACTCTGTACAAAAATTGTGGCAGATGAGAGTAGAGTCATGTTAACCTTTTCCATTCTTCCTTTTTATATTATCTCTTTTTGGACCATAAGAAAGTTACTGTGGGACAGTTCTACAGGACAGGGGGAAAAGACACAGCCAGCCAGCAACCAAATGGATTTGCTTTGTAATATTCACCTGCTGGCTGCCTAAAAATCAATTAAACTACTGATTTCACTGTCCCTTTCAAATGACAATTTGAGGAGAGGAAAAATATTTTTTGAATATCACAAAAAACTCCAATATTTCCTTTTTCTATCACCTTCACGTTTTAACATTGCTCTTCAGAAAGAAGGCTGTCAAAGCCCTGCCTTACATGACATAAATTAGCTGGCATAGATCTCTCCTGTCTTCACTTATCTCCTTATAAGGAGATATAGCTGCTCATAATTGTCCTATAGTTGCTCGTAATTGACAAATACTGAATTATCAGAAAAAGAGATCTGAACAGCTCAAGGAACCCTGTTTTTTGGCAAACGTCTGGTTTTCTCCAAAACTCATATGGGGTTTTTTTTTAGGTGCCCCATTTAGTTAGATTTGATACTATGAAAACTACCAACACAAAAAAAAAAGTCAGAGTTGAACAGCCACAAAGTTTCCTGTACAAAAACACACCTAAATGTAACAAATTTCAACCAGCTAAGCAGTGGTAAGTATGATCTTTTCACAGATTATTCAGGTGCTTCACAGCTGCATAGAAACTTAGCCAAACTTTTAAAACATGCTGGAGCCTACAATGGGACAACTGGCTGGAGAGACAAGGATGGCTGCAGTCTAGCTGGACTTCAGCAAATCTTTTGACACTGTCTCCCATCATAGCCACATAGGCAAACTCAGGTGTGTGAACTGGACAAGTTAAAGGTGAGGTGGATTGAGAACTGGCTGAATGGCAAATCCCAGAAGGTCACTATAATTGGCACAGGGTGTAGTTGGAGGCCTATCATTTGTGGTGTCCCCTAAGGTTCAATAGTGGGTCCAGTATTGTTTAACTTCTTCATCAATGACTTCAATGGAGGGACAGATGCCTCCTTACCAAGTTCATAGATGTCACAAAGTTGGGAGGAGTCGCCAATACCTGAGGGCCATGCAGCCACTCAGAGGGACCTCAACAGGTTGAAGAGATGGGCAGAGGGGAACAGTGTGAAAGTCAACAAAGGCAAATGCGGGGTCCTGAACCTAGGGAGGAATAATCTCATGTATGTACAGGCTTGGGCTGATCTGCTGGGATGCAGCTTTGTGGAGAAGGACCTGGGAGTTCTGGTGGACAACAACCTGTCCATGAGCCAGCAGTGTGCCCATGTGAAGGCCAATGGTATCCTGGGAACGTTGGGGAGAACACTCCCAGGAGATCAAAGGACATGATCCTGACTCTCTACTCGTTGCTAGTGAGACTCATGAGTGCTGTGTCCAGTTCTGGGCTCTTCAGTACCAGAGAGATGTGGAGCTCCTGGAGTAGCTCCAGCAAAGTGTAGCAAAGTTGATCAAGAGACTGGAGCTCCATTACATGGAACGTCTCAGGGAGCTGGGCCTGTTCAGCATCAAGAAGAGACAACTGAGACATGATCAGTGCCTGTAGGTACCTGAAGGGAATGTCTCAAGAACATGGAGCCAAGCTCTTCTCAGTGGAGCAACAGGACAATAGGCAACAGGCAGAAATTGACAGAAGTTTCACTTGATCATAAGGAGTACCTTCCTTGTGCAGGTGATCGCACAACAGAATGGATTACCCAGAGAAGTTGTGGAACTTCCCTCACTGGAGATGTTCAAAAAACATCTGGATGCAATCCTGAGTACACTCTAGGGCTCCTTGCTTGAGCAGGGAGGGAGACTAGATGATCTCTAGTGGTCTCTTCCAACCTTAACCATTCAGTGATTTTACAAGCCAGAGAACAGGATAACAGAAATAGAGATGCAGATTAGCTGCATCTACTGTCATAATACAGGAAGAGATCAGCCACAGAGAAATCAACCCAGATGCCAGTAAAATGTAGTTTACATTTGATTTGCATCACCACACTGAAGACAGTACAAACAGGTTGCTAAAGGCACAAGGAAATTGTTCATGTGACCAGAAAAGCAAGCAGTAGGAGCTAACAGAGGTCTCTGGATGCAGAAATAATCAAACACTCGTTGTGACAGCAAAAAACTAAAAAAAAAACAACCAACCAAATTTCTTAGTCATTGAAGTGTGGGTCTCTTCAGAGTAGAGTAATGGGGGAAAATCATTTCCACTGACCCGCTAGCCACACTTTTTATGAAGCCAAGTGTATGGTTGGCTTTCTGAGCTGAAGCACACATTGCTGTCTCACGTGCAGTTTGTCATCCACCAGTACCCACAAGTCCTTCTCCACAGGGCTGCTCCTAATCCATTTATCTCCCAGTCTGTACAGATACTGGGGAAGGCCATGGGTTAGGTGCAGGCCAGGACCACATCCCTGGCGTCGCCAAACCTCACAAAATTCATATGGGCCCACTTCTCTAGGCTGAAGTCTTTCTGGGTGATTTCCATTCCCACTTGCAAATCAACTGCACTTGCTCAGTGTGGTGTCATCTGCAAACTTGCTGAAGGCATACTCAAACCCACTGCATGTCATTGGTGATACTGAACCCTTCAGATCATATTATGGACCCCAAGAGACAGCACTTATTTCTGATCTCTGCTTGGACATTGAGCAGTTGACTGCAAATCTTTGGATGCAGCTGCCTCAGCAATTCCTCATTTATTTAACAGTCTGTTCATCAAACCCCTATCTCTCCAATTTAATGACAAATGGTGTTGTGGGAGACACCATCAAAGGCCCTACAGAAGGAAAGCCTTTATAATTATACAGTTAATTATAATTACATATCATTAGAACAGCACACACATATACAACACCAAAACTGAGAATGTTATAACCATATAGCCTCAATTAATATGTTGCCTTAGGTCCAGAAGTTAAAAAGGATTTGGAACTACTGAAAAAGCAGAAAGATACTTCATTTAATACAGTGCAACAAGAGTATCGAGAGGATACAGTCTTCTTTCTTTGATTCCATCCCCTCACTTCAGATGCATGAAAACAAGCTGAATGACTTCCTGCTTTCAGTCGTTCATTTCAACAGGTCATGGTATGCTCCACCCCTACACAATGCACCCTGCTGTGATGGTGGAAATAATTTAGCTCTGCTTTCTCAGGAGAATGACTTTTCCATTATGATGGCCATCAGAGCACCATGTTTTGCTGTCAGTTCAAAGAGTCAACAAAAGTGTATTAAATTATTTCTGCACACTAAACTACTCATTCCTGGTTTGTTCAAGTATCCACTATCCTCAAAACAGACAACGCCATATACAAAGCTCTGTATTTAGTGAAGCCTAGCAAATGCTCTCTGAGGGAAAGAAGACGGCTCACAGGATATATTTTCCCACATGCAAGGTGACTCAAGTTTGGTAAGAAAAGGTTGCAACACCCACCCCACCAAGCCCATCACCACCTCTACAGAAGCACACCCACCAGGAAAACTGGAAACCTTCAGCTTCCCACGCCCACCTGAATCCCATGTACACACCTGGTGGCAGCTGCCACCCAGGCAGCCTCAGCTGTCCCATCAGGGCACAAAGCCAGCCCTAACAGGCAGCTGATGTCCCAGTGGAGCAGAGACTGCACAGGCACTGCATCCTGCTCTGCTCACACTGCTTCCTCCTACACATGAATTTTACTCATACCTGAATGCACATTTCCATGCAAGGATCTGCTATGTGAACCATATAGTCTGCAGTCAAAAATATCACTGCTGTGTCTGCCTGTGCAGCTGGATACTGTGCTTTCTTGGGATGCAGTTTGATAGCAGCCCACTGAGCTTCAGGAAGTCTTCTACTTTCTTTATGCAAACAGAACAGCCACAGATCCCAGCTTCTGACAGCCACATAACTCATGAAGTTTATTAAGCATAGAAGGGTGCAGGAAATGGCAGCCCCAAGTGATAGTCCCATACCTTTATTTCCCAAAAAATGACAAGGGGAAGCTCTGGAGCAATGCTGACAAAGCAGCTATGCATGTCCTCTTGTGCCAGGTATGAGCCAGCCCTGAGCCAAGCCAGTCTGCTGCCATCACCCTCTCTTTGTGATAAAACCAATGCAGAGCCCAAGCAGCTCACAAGTAGTGCCCACTGCTGAGCCCACCGGGCCAGGCTGCTGTGGCAGGGCAAGGGCAATCTGGGAGATGCACTGCATGGCCTCTAAGGGTGGACCTGTACTTCTAGGCCAGGGGCCATGAACCCTGGCTCTGACCCAGCAGTCTGACTACCATCAGGGCACCTGCTCTATGCAGACTGCCCTGGGGTGAAGCAGGCAGCCCCGAGACC